GAAACGTCGTACTCAACACACCGGTGGGCTAAAGCAGTGAACTATTTGTCTTTTGTCAACGTGACACTTTTTTACTGATTGGCCGTGTCGGGTGGTGGAGGGTTACGACACATTTATAAATAACGCGATCTAAACCCAAAAACGTTGATTATGAATAGATGGGGGTGTTTGGCAAGCAATTTCAGGGCCGCGCCCTTTCCCCTTCCCGCAGTCGACGAGGCAGACTTCCAGGCTCCTGTGTTCGCCATGGGCCCCTTGCTCCTCGTGGTAGTGTTGGTGGTGGTGACAGTGTTGTTGGTGGTGGTGGTGGTGGTGGTAGTGTTGTTGGTGGTGGTGACAGTGTTGTTGGTGGTGGTGACAGTGTTGTTGGTGGTGGTGGTAGTGTTGTTGTTGGTGGTAGTGTTGTTGGTGTTGTTGGTGGTGCTGTTGGTGGTGGTGACAGTGTTGTTGGTGGTGGTGACAGTGTTGTTGGTGGTGGTGACAGTGTTGTTGGTGGTGGTGGTAGTGTTGTTGGTTGTGGTGGCAGTGTTGTTGTTGGTGGTGGTGTTGGTGGTGGTGTTGGGCCCAGGTTTCCTCGTCCTCGGCTGTTTCTCGCTAAGCCAGCCCCAACTCTTCCCGACGAGATTCAAAATAATTAAAAACCGGTCCAGGGTTCTTGCTTGCCTCCAACAGCTGTTGCTGCATCATGCTGTCGGTGTGCAAGGCCCAATACAACGATGAACTAAAACGTGTTTATTTACGTGTAGAGACATAATTGAATTGTGGAGGCTTTTTTATCCCGATGTAGTTATTGATCATTGTTGTGACTCGTGAGGCATCTTGGGATGCGATTGCATTTAAATGACAATTGTTGTTGCAATATATCACCATGCACCACAAGAGACATACATTAAAAAATATATATAAACTCTATTGGGTATGTAATTAACGGCACGCGTGGATGGCGTGCGATGTTATTCCTCGACAGTCCCGTCGCATTTATTTCAACTGCCGTGATGGTTACGAGGCGCCAGCACAGGACAATGGAGTCAGGGCGAGGATGTATTTGGTCCACTCAGGAGTGAGTTCGTTTGCAGGTTGGATTCGTCCGTGGAGTTCTGAGTGTTATGCCCCCCCACCCCCCTCTCGTTTGCGTGGTGGACTTTCGCTTTGTCCAATTCACCTCCCACGTGATGTGAATTGGACAAACGTCCCACTGCAGTAGGATACTTCCTGAAAACCCCAAAAACATTACCTTGAGACTCAGAAAAGCCTTTCTTGGATAAATATAATATCAAAGGCTACCACATCAGTTATTAGTTGACACTTTGTGTGCTTTGGTTGATTGCAAAAATAATTATCTTGGAGGGGATCAGGTTTGTATTATTATTAAAGCCAGCTAACAATCGGATTATGATTTTTAATAAGCTGACTCAGGGTCTACATGCTATTCCGGTAAGATGCACTCTGCCAATCACCCTGTCGTGACAATGAAACGACAAGGATCACTGGGTGAGCATTGCTGATCTCCGCGTTGTACTTGTACCGCGTCAATGCAATTACTCACGCGGACTGAATTACCCCAATTACACAGCGTGGTGGTGCGAGGAGGAGGAGGGGTGGGTGGAGGAAGAGAGAACAAAGGGAGTGGTGGAGCCAGCGTGCTTCTGCTACTGCCAAGGACACGAAACGCGTGGTGGTCTTCGGTGTAGCAGCAGTAACAGCAGCATCATCAATAGCAGCATCATCATAATAACCACCACAAAAAACTCATCACCGTGACGTGAATCATCACCTGATTTATCAGTCATCACCTCATTTGGAATGGTCAGCATGATCAGCCGCTACATTGAGGTTTGTCATGAGATGCACCAATTATGTATAATAAAAAACCATCAACAATTATAACTAATCATTACATTTAGCAGGGTCGCTATCATCGGCAACTCCATAATCCTGAATAGTCATTTGAACCAATTATCATTAAACCCGTCAGACGCAACAATTATCATAACTAATCATCAGCAGCCTTCATCAATCACGAATCACAGCCGCCATAATCAGCAACAATTAGCAGCAGCATTTCCACGAATTCATAACATTCCCCAATTACCAATACCAGTCATCGATACCATCAGCGTTAAATTCGATCACGTATCACCACTGCCAAGAACCATCAGCAGCACCGAGCAATCAACAGCAGCTGCATCATCACCAATTACACTGTGTAACACGATTTTTGTCCCTGGGTATTAAGTGTTATTTTTTAATTGCTCATGCCAAAAATAATTTTTAAAATGGCCACTATTCCCCACAAACTTGCTTTTGTGACCAGGACTATGTGAAGGAATGGTACAAATGCACACGTTTTCTCATTGAAAAATATGTAAATTTGAAAACATCACTGTCCTGGTCACAAAAGTAAAGTTTGTGGGGAATAAGACATTTTCTGCACTTTGAGGCATCAGCAATTAGGAAAATAACACTAACTGCCCAGGGACAATGTGTTTGTTAGTGTTATCAATTTCGCCATCTCAAGCATCGGAAGCATGATTATTGTCACCATTCTTCAGAGACATCGAGCGGATTTTGGGAGGGGTGTCACTGAGTATCTTCCATTGAGTTCTAGACTGCAACAGAATTTAATCGAGTCTCGGAAGGAGGCAGATGCTGGGAATTTCGCAGGGGAGCGAAATTGATATGTGAACCTTGTGGCGGGACCCTGGGATCCCGAATAAACGGAAGCTAAAATCGTAATGAATGCATTTTTGGCGACTCCGTCCCACCGCGCACAAACGCCGTGACCCACCTGGCACGGATCATTCTGCAGCAGCAAGGACGAATGCGCAGAAAACTTGTAACCTTTGATTAGCGCATTGTGTAGAACTCGTCGAGAGGAATAGATTTCCGTATCGTTCGCCTTCAACAAACATACAATGACGTCGCAATGCAGTTTATGCGAGAGCCGGGGGCTTATAGGACCCCGGGATCCCGCCATAAGGTTCACATTTTTATGTAAACTGTGCAATTAACGTTTTTAGTCATGGCGCCCCACGGGAAGGGGAGTAGTCGTAGATTTAAAGATAAAGGCACGAAATAGGTTGTCCTTTCCGGCAATAAAACAGGCGTTAAGATGTTAAAACACCACGCGTGTTTGCATGTTTTGTCACAAGTGTGTGTGGTTAATGCAGACGATGCCTTGCAAAAGGTTCTCTAATTGGTGTCTGAAAAATAGTAACACCTGTTTTATTGCCAGAAAGGGGGCAAAACGTATTATTTCGTTGCTAGAAAAAAGGCCCTCTAATTATAAAGGGACGGGTCGCGTAAGAAAGATAATAGGAATTCTGGTATGAAAGTCCCCAGGACAAAGAGGGCACGGCTCGAGACGAGCAGCAGGAAGAAGAAAGGAGCGTTGGGCAGGAAGGAATGCTTCAAGTAAAGATGTCGGGGAATGAGAGAACAAGCAAGCAGAAGAGAGCTTCATGGAGCAGCGCCTGTTCTCAGAGGGGAAGGGAAGGATTCAGTGGGGGTGGCCACACAGAAGCGACGTGATTTACAGGTGGCTCGAGCGGATTTAGATATAAACGAGACCGACAAAGCCGCCACACCCAGACAGCGGAGGGATACTCGCGTGCGGGACACTTGAACACACAACTCGGCTGCCGCTTTATTCCGCAGGCAGCAACAAAATCGCTCACCCGGGGCTCCTTGTGCATTCCTCCATCATCCGATAACAATTTAATAATAGTCAGCCCTTCAATCAATCCACTGATAGATTACAGCCCTCTCCGCACCATCACTCATGGGCAGTATATGACCATACTCCATGGCACTGGTCAGTAGGAGTTGATGAAAGGGGGGCCCAGGACAGGTTATAACTCATCCACTGATGCCAGCTTTCGCCGGGAATCGAACTCGGGTCGCTGTAGTTACAGCGGCACAATCCAATAACCACAACTGCGCCCCCAACAATGTGTTAATAGGCTTCTTAAATAGGCTCGCTGGGATGTAGGAAGCCAGACTCCAGGACACATTTAACTCTCAACCGGTATTTTTTGTGCAAACAAAATTGTGGGGGCACTGGGAGCCAGCGTGAATACCCCATTCCAGCCTTCTTCGTCTTTCGTATGGCTTGTGTAGATGCAGGTGTAGATGCAGTGCAACAAGTGCGACACATCCAGTGGTCGGTAGCTTTCAAAGCGGCTCGCTCACGACTTGCCTGGTCACGCAGTAAGGTCATTTGTCCACCAGGCGGCAGCATTGCTCCATTACAAACAAGAATTTTCAGGTTTTGGCAAGCCACTGCTGGATGAAAGCCTCCCCCATATCTTATCAGTCATGGGGTTTCAGGAAGGTGAGATCGGTTCAAATCAGTTTGGTTCAGCAGCCACCGGTATGCAGAGGTCAGAATCAAGTACTTGGGTGCGTGGTCCGGTTATGGCGTGAACATCACGTGATGTTACCGGAACCCGTTCGGCAAACGCGACTTCGTTCACTCACCACTGCCCAGAGTGGTGGCTGGGAATTCAACTTAAATTGCCAAGTTCGCTGAGCCACCACTCCTCTTTATACATTGTAAATGTTAAAATCGTATTTAAAAATGACAGATCCATAACATATTAACCAAAATCCATAAAGACTCCGGGATATGTTTGTTTGCACTTCCAATAAACCACAACAGCTTGATTTGAGTCTCAAGTACTATTGTGTGTGCATTGCGCTTTCGGATATTTAGCCAATTACCTTTACAGAATATTTGGTAAGATTTCTCGTTGAAACGTTAAATTTACAATTTAACATTTTAGGGACATCTGTATGTCGACCACAATGAAAAATGTCTCAAACTAAAAATCTATAAATCAAACAGATGCACAATTGGCATCCTCATTTGACCAACCAGGCACCCAAAAATGCTTTTGGTAAATATTATTGGGGCTTAAATTTTAGCCTATGGCATTTTTTATATAAAAACTTCAAAACATTCCAATAACTAAAAAAAAAGACAAGGAGCCGTGACTGAATTCCATTTTTAAACCTGCTTTAGTCAACGATTTGTACTCAAAATGTCACATCGGTTACAAAACACCCTCAAGGATGACATGATAGAGGTTAAACAAGGTAGGATTGCATTAAATCAAGTGCTCAGCAGAAGGCACGCACACATGTCAAGGAATCAAAACATATGGCTGCATCCCAACATGGTAACAGGTAAAAAAAAGTCCCACAAATTGCAAACATGCCACCGAGAATTCAATAAACCCAAAATTCCACAAACCGATTAAATGACAACCTCGTTGGTTATACGAAAATAGGTTTTACCGCTAGCCACCGAGCGGTGAACACCTGACAGAAGGGGTTGGTTTTGCTTGGTGGTCGTGTGGAGGGGCAGGGGTGGGAGGGCGATGACTGGAGTGGAGAGATTGTGGTTGCGAGGATGAGGTGTGCAGCAGCAGTGGTGACTTTTGGGTTGAAACTGCCGCTTTTCACAGTCGTTTAAACAGGAAGTGCGCCGCCATGGCCACTATAGGTGCACCCGTAGGAGTGCCAGGAAAGGGTCCAGACGAACCCGCGATGTCCACGTGGGAGTAGCGCAGCGGCTTCTCAGAGTCCAGCCCATGCTGATGGAACACACACAGATTGCAATGTAGCCTACCCGCATTAGACTGTATGGGCAAGTGCTGTTAGGCAAGCACCTATGAAGGTCAGCCTCATACATGAAGTGAGCCCAGTACCATTTCCAGGTAGACCCCACCCCCCAGTCCTGCTCGTTATACAGCCACACTAATGTACAATTAAATGCCAAATTGACCGAGGGAAGGCCCCACGGTAGGTTCAGTTAACCCCTTGCTCCCCCCCGATGTGCAGCATTGCTAGGAAATCGATCCAGGTGGCCAGCATCGCAAAGCAGTTGTGTGAACAGCTCTTAACACCACTCCGCCCCACCACATAAACCCTATTTAGTCTGTTATGTCGGGTGATGTGTCACTGGTGATCACTTACAATGGCATCTAACGGAAAACCGGTGAGGCCAGCACCCAACTCTAACTGCCTGCATCTCTATTTTATTGATGTACTGCATCAGGTACTCAATTTAGGCTACCTGAACTTTAAGGAGGCATGGGTCAGGCACCACTGCCCTTTACCATTCATCCCTTGGATGTAGCACATTGGCAAAGTGGTTAGAAAAAAAACAATTGGCAGACAGCAAAACAAACGCCCTTTCAAAAATGAGAGAATAACATGGCATTTAGGCAACACAGGAAGCAGAAAAACTACCATAACAGACCCAAGGCGACATAGAATGCTGTGCTTTAAAATTCCATCATGAGAATAGCGTCTGCATCACACCGCCCGTGTCAAAAGCTTTTCACAAAAATCCCACGCTTTTGAGATTACGAGCACGTCCGCCGAGCAGCTGGGACAAAAGGGAAAAATCGTTCCATCCATTTCCACTGGAAAGCAGTGAAAATGACGAAGCATCGGTGAAGTATTTCCTACATGGTGGTCATCGCGCCCATTCTCCTCACAAAGCTCAGAATGCTTGTATTTCTTTAAAATGAGTCCCCATGCAATCGGTTTATTTTGGTGCAGCACTCTGCAGACTGAAAGTGAGCATACGCAAGCAGTGGCCACTGGACTGCGATGAAGGAGATTAGAATTGATGTTATCACAAAGGTCTCATACCACGCAAGGGTTTGAACATGTTGAGACAATAGAATAATGCAGCACATACTTTGTACAGTTCTTCTTTCACACTCGATAATATCTGAGGTAACGTGTTGGAATGCTGTGAGTGACAGTAGAATGTCTGTCATGTTTTAAAAGGACATCTACCACAACTCACAACATGACATAGATCATGATTAAAATATCGATGACAGACCATGTAGGTTCATCCTCATATCATTTAATTCATATTTAATGTCTGACGAAGTGAAGCTGAAAATCTATTATTTTTGCAACTCTCTGCCAAGTGTATGGGAAGTCAGTCGAGCGATGTCGCCACACAAGCACCGTGGCTTTTAGCGCAGCTGTGTGCAGCATGGGTTGTGAAAATACATATGAGAAGCCAGGTGTCTGGCTCTGGGATCGGTTCAGCTGCGCCAGGCTGCCAAGGAAACACAGCTTGTGCCAAACCAGCCATGGAACGGAGGAGATGCCGCGAGTTATACTCACGGCGTCCATCCCGGACGTGAGCACGAGGAAGGCGGCGGGCGACTGGTGTCCACGTGGGGTGGCGCTCGACGGGAGGTTGTTGCACTGCAAGACGTCCTCGTACTCGGACTTCCCAGCGTGGAAGACGTAGTCTTCGCGCCGGATGGTGGACAATTCGAACGGATCGCCTACGCGCTCGCCCACTGGTCACACACGTCGGGGGTCACGGAAGGTCGCCGTTATTTTACTTGCCGGACAATTTAGCTTTTATTTCGGACAGTGTCATCATAATTTTCTCCTTGTGTTTGTAGTGTCTATTATTAGTGTACATGTGGCAATATCACCGTTTCAAGGGTTAAACCAGGTGTTCTCATCATTAATGGTTTCAAGTAGAGGGGGACTTGAGGCCTACCTTTGAACCACTCCTGACTATTCCCAGCCTCCCGTGCCGGTCCATTGTCCATGATCAGCTGTCATAAACAGGTCAAGGTTTAGGGGTCAGCATCACAGCCCTACATTAAGAAAAATATTAGACATGCATTAAAAAAAACACCTACGAGCAGGACACATGATTGGAATAAATAAAAGTGCAAAGGAAAGAGGACACATCAGATCTCGGAAACCAAGCAGGGTCGAGCGTGGATAGTGCCAGGATGTGCGAATGTGGTACATGGGAATTGATATAAGCTGTGGTGCTACATTTTGTACACCTGCTTTCACCAACGGCACTGACCGGCGGGGTAAAGTATGGCCAATTAACTCATCAACCGACATGGCGTAGAGAGGCATTAATCCAGCAGTGTATCGACAAAGGGCTGTGTGTATAAACACACACACGTGCATATTAACGCAATCTGTCACACAGAATGCGGGGATTTTTGAAATTAATTCGTATAAACCCACACAAGCAGGCTTGGTAGCGAGGGGGGGGGGGTAGAGGTAGCAGGCAGCTGAGCGAGTGGTGCTGTTGGTGGGGGCAGGCGACCGGCACTCACGGTGTATTCGGGCCCCACGGCACGGATGGCGTGCCCCGTCAGGGTGGCGATGGTGTACAGCTCAGGGTTCACCGCGCTGACCGCCTGGAGAAAGCAGAATGTTTATACTGGAGGAATCCGACGAGCTGCGAAGCTCTTTTTCACAGATGTCCAGTAAAAGTGCACGCAAACGGTGGCCATCGCGCACAGCTTCAGAGACACGTGTAATATGCCAATTAACATCAAATGTACAAATAATGTGCTGATATACAATTCCCCAGCAATTCAAGCCCAGGTTAAAGGATGTATTTTTTTCCCCTGCCTATGACCGACTGCCACTATAAAATAAACATGTTCATGGTTTCTGTACAGCATCTTCAGATGACAAATAGATATCCAATTTTCGTCCTGTTTAATGTTATACTTGGACTATGAAGGCAGGTTAAAAAAACACTTCAAATTATGAAGGTATAAACAAAATAAAAAAATTCCTGAATTGAATGGCAAACCCCAATTTGTGATAATTCACTCAATTGCTGGCAGGTAAACTCTTGACATATCACTCAGAGAATTACTGCCGAAATCCCTTCATGTGGCCTCTGATACATGCAGTGGGAGCCAGGCAGAGCTGCTTTCCCACCCACCTCTACGACAGAATAATGGTTTTCATATGAATGCCAAACTAAAATGTTCAATTCCCAGAGATGGGATTTATCCAAATGAAGTGCACAAACAAATGTATTTTTATGATTGGTTAAATGGGCTGAGACTATAACCTCGACACTTGAAAATAAAGTCCAACACAAAAGCCAGTTGACCCGAATCTCTTGGCTACCCTCACCAAAAAAAAAAAAGTTTCTAAAACGACTCATTATAGCAGATCAAAAATACCAAACAGAAACAACCTTTGCATTATAGTGACATTTTAAAGCTGCAATGACTGTATGCTTGGGTCAAGACGTGGAGTCAAATCCACACCTTCTCCTTGAGCAGGCACAGAAGGTCGGCCATCACCATGCGCCCCTCCGCGTCCGTGTTGCCCACGCGCACGCGCTTCCCCGCACGCGACGTCACGATCTCGTCCGCCACGTAGCAGTCTGCACACAACCAAACAGTCGCCTCGACGATAAACGCCGTGGTGCACACCTTGTAATGTAATCCGAATCCTTGGGGGCCGAACGTTGGCAACCGGTACATATGTGAAATTCCCAAACCCGCCCAGGTTGTATGCCATGTACGTTGAACTTCTTTTGCGCCATATGTAGCCGACCGTGCTAATTGGAGGTGCAGGGAGGGGGGACAAACTAAACATAAAGCGAGGTGGCCTCCAGATGGCATCAGAATAAGTGGATAGATGACCACGTCTGACCATGTCTGTGAAGACTTTTGAGAGTTATCCTATCATGAGAGTAGGTTCTCTCCAGGTACTTCAGTTTCCCCCCACCCCACACCCAAAACACTTACTAAATATCAAATTGGCCAAATATATAAATTGTATTCTATTCTTGCCAAAGGCGATATATCAATGCAGGACTCATGGAAAATAATCTTGAGACTCAAGAAAATAAATGAAATAGCACATCCAGAAATTATCAGTGCTAAACATGTGGTCATCGTCATGAGTCCTGAGCCAATGACGACAAATTCCATGTTACTATGGCAGAAACGAATCTCACCAGGAAAGAAGATCGGTTGCCCTTACACTCAATTAATTCAACTTTATAATGTACAGCTAAATGTATCAACCTGAAAAGATCGACAGCCTTGATCTATAAAATCAGATGCCCACCATCGGTCATGGTTAGCATCTGATTTTGCAAGGCCACAACAGTAGGCCCATTCATCTACCACCTGATCCAGAGCTCAACGACTACAAATAAAACCTTGTGAAGAGCTTTGAAGAGATTTTTTAAAGGAAAGCCATCGGCACACGCACTCAAGACGCATGCTTCAGGATGTCAGATTTGAGTGTAAATGCTGCCGCTTTAATTAACCTCTAGACGACTCGCATGCATTAAACGACACGCGTAATATAGCACGATCTTGTTTGATGAAATTACTCCCAATTTAACAATTGAGAAGGAGCATTGGCAGCGGGGCAGCATACGCACCTGAACCAACGCTGTTCCTCACCATTGCCAGGACACCCACCACACGAATGTTCTTGGGTTTCAGCTTGGCCAGAATCTGCACGGGAGAAAGGCAAGGGGGAGGGCAGGGCATTGCTTCAGCAATCGACAGTGGGCAAACGGACGACAGACTTCCGTTCATTTTGTCTTTGTTAATGATGGCGACAAGAGTGTGACTAGGGAAAAGTCTGCATACATGTTGAACTTCTTTCGTACCATACCATAGCCAACCATGTGAAATCAGAGGCGTGGCAGAAGGACAACAAAAAAGTATATCTGGGTCACATGCTGAACCGATTAAATATTATCGTTTGTCAATCCACTGCTGGATGAAGGGTCCTAATATGTAAATAACACCGATATAATTGAGAGAAAAGTTGGGGGGCCACCGTACCTTTGTGGTATTGTGGCCCTTACCAAAGACCCCTGGGGTCCCTGCCAATCCCCCCCAGCCCCCCCTCCCAAAATTGCCCCCAAGGTTAAGGTTACAAACACACATAGATCACACATGTCCACGCCACTAGTCAACGCAATGTTAATAAGGCATTTGGTTCCTGTTGCGTATTAAATGTGTCTTGTTGCCGCAACATGGTGCTGACGTTCCCCGCGCACGTTAAAAATGTCTTGTATGCGGTATTCATGGGATGCGACTATCTGCGCTCTCCACCCCCCCCCCACCTATCGAAAGGCTTTCTTCACCCATCCCCTTGGGGAGTGCGACACACAGGGCGAGAACCGCCAAGTTAAGGGTGCACGTGGGGAGGTGCGGGTCACCTCAAAGAATCCAGCAACGGCGGCCGCACCACACTTGTCGCGGTGCATGCCGGCCATGTGGCCGCCGGCCTTGATGTCAGCCCCACCGGTGTCGTAGGTGATGCCCTGCGCAAGTGGGGAAAAAAGAGACCATCGCACAAATGCCACCTTGCTGTGATTCGCAAGTGCCTCCTCAGTCCCCGCCCACCCGCCCGCGACTGACGGGCGTTCAATTGCACGTGTAGAGTTGAAATCACGTTTTGCGGACTGTTTGTTCACACGAGGGCTTAAGCAGACCTTGCCAACCAGGAAGACGGTCTTGTCCACGTTTCCCTCGCCCGTGTACTCCAGCTCGATCACACGCCCGCGGTGGCGCTCAACAGCTGGCGGATACCAAGACGACACGCAGCGGACACAGGCACAGAAACAAAAAAATGCATTGAGCCTTCGCTCAAGTAACGAAGGTTACTCATTCTCCTCTGCGTCGCCAATAATCTGGAACTCCCATCATCCCCCTACCATGGGTGCTATCAACTCCCTATCCAAAACCTCAGCCAATGACTGACTGCAGCTCCCTAGAAATAAATAGGCCCACTGTCTGTAAAGAATCTTGGAGATGTTGTCGCATTTAGAAGATAATACAAATCCAACCTGGACAACGATCTTAGATGTTATCCTGTTTGGGACAAGCATCCCACTAAGGTCGAGATGCTTACACCCCACACCAGACTTAGCCGACCTAGAGCAGCACTAGGAGAGATGTAGATATATCACACCCCTTCCCATGGAAGTCAGTGGGTTCGTAGCAATGTGCCAACTCCTGCACCATTACTACACCGAATATTAACAACACCCACACATTCCTGACCTCAAATTCACTCTAAATCACATCATTGGCAGCTGGTTTCTCATTAAACATTATTTGTTCAACTTTACTTATCCTGCGGCAAAATTTTACTTTCGCAATGTGATGATTGCATTCCGAGCGCCATTAGTTATTCTACACTATGATTTCATTTAATCTACAATTCTGCCGCGAGCATCCAGGGCTGCATTATTTAGTAAACGGTGATTAAATATATCAATCATTGCTTGTTTAAGCAATTTTCCATAATTTCTGTAAAGGGCAGTAAAAGGTTCTGGGTTCGATTCCAGACTCTGGTTTCCTCACAGATTTAAAAAATAAATAAGTGTAACTGGTATTGGCCAAACATCCCAAATGCTGAAAAATCACCTGCAAATTATTACTTTGGGATTACGCAGCAGCAACATCAACCCACACTGCAAGCTGCCTTGAGACTAATCTTTTCTGGGTAAACAAGTGTAATAATAATTCACAACAAACACCCAACTCAAAGTGAATTCACATATTCTCAAGTATGGTTTGGAGACTGTCGATATATTTTAGTTTTTTGTTACTAACCATTTGCACAACGGTTGACTGCAGCCAAGCATGGAAATTCTTTCTTGAAGACATCAGGGTCAGAGATGACTTTCATCTGAAATTCAAAAATCAAGAAAACATTTAAATGACAAAACGATGTAGAAACATCACATTTGAAGTAAAAAAATAGATACATTTCCGAAAGATGAAAAACAGGAACCGTTGACTTCCTGCAAGGCAGAAACTATTTTCTCACTTCCATTAAGTTTTGTTGTTTTCAAACACGATAGTGCATCGCTGGCATGATCTTTAAAAACATGTCAGTCAATGGCGGCGTCGCGCAAGTAGTCACACGCAACGCGCAGGGCTGCGGGGCATGGGGGCTCACCAAGACGGCCGTGCCCTTGAAGATGGCTTCCAAGTACTCGGCCACCTTTGGCGCTGCCATGCGCTCGGGGTCAGAGCCACCGATATCACGGTACACCACCCTGTACGACACACAAACACCAGTACCAAATGGCAGCACGGCAAACCGCAGCAGCAGGACGACCAGACACGTGTTGGCAAGCAACACTACCTCCAAGGCATTTTCACTCACCCAGGAATTCAAGCACAGGTGCTATGGAGCACCATTTCCCCAAACATCAATTATATATTACATACATTTTGGGCAAATGTCTGTTTCGGGTAATTTCCTATACTCTTATATAAGCGCACAACTTTATCTATCTGTGATGAACGCTGCACTTTCCGTTGTTTTCATACAGGGGGCGCTGTAAACCTGCGCACTCCCTGCATGAACGACGGCGGCACAGGGACAGACGTTCGATTATGTTGGAATCGATCTGCCGACGGCGGTCTTCTCGTATAGCCAGCTCTATGTCGCCTGATCTCGATCCCACAATCCCAAAACAGGTGAAAGTCCGCATCGAACTGAACCCCCAGCAAGGCTATCGACTTAACGAGAGAAAATTCACACAGAATGTCCTTTTCAATTAAAGTCTTCCAGAACAAATAAAATTATCCAATTTAAAACATAATACAATTCAAAGAGGCTTCATTTTAAAACTTCAAAACAAAGCATCGGGTGCTTGCGTGAATGCGTCATTCGTGCAATTTTTTTTGTGACTTTCCTGGCCGAAGGCAGTAAATGGTTGAGGGGCGCCGCATCAATGGCTGCGCCCCCGAACAACCCCTAGTTATTTATACTTTATTTATACGGCAAGTGTTATTGATGGATGTGTTACATTTTTTGACATTGGTAATGGATTGCAAGGCTTGGGCCACAATGGCCATGCTTAACATGCACACCTGCCACTCTCCAGCGCCGTGACCACCTTGACAAGATGTTGTCCCTCCGCGTCGCTTGGCACCCACAGACCCAGCAGCTCTGCCTTGCTCTTCTTCTCGGGCAAGGCTTCTCGGACCTCGATAGGCTGTCACGATCCACAGCCACGCACACATAGGGGGTCCCGTGTTTAGGCGTGCAGACCACAAGTGGTTGTTAGCAAGCATATTGTGGCACAAAAAATAAGGTGGTGTGGATCAGACCACACCAGGCCAATTTTACATTGCGAGTAAAAAAAACCAGGGATAAATTTGACGCAGCAAAGTAACAAGAGAAAGGCTAAATTTGAAGCTTTCGTGACTGCAAGGATTCATACTCTTAGTTTTTTCGGTAAAGTCATGTAAGTAAAAAATGAAATTAACAGTGACGGTCCCACCTGATGACGGAGACTTGTGTTGCCTCCGAAACGTCGTGATTTTTATTATTTTATTTTTGTTAATTTTTATTTCATTTTTTACCTACGTGACTTTACCGAAAAAACTAAGAGTAAGAGAAAGGCTACGTGCCAGTCGGGTCAAATGGCCCTCTTCCCCGACGATATTAAATGACGGGCGGGAAGGGCAGCGTGTGTCTATTAGGTCGTTGCGATGAAGCAGGAGGGTGGGCAGGGTATTGAGCGTTGCAACGCACCACATAGAGTGCATGCAGTGCCCCGAGGGCACCCACGAGCAGGGCATCATTAAATCTAGAGTCGGGCACCAGCACCAGCAGGGGCTTCTTGCTGCCGGCTTTGAGGGCCCTGTTGAGAGACGATAGGGGTGAGAAGCAAAAGCAAAAAAAAGCAGTTGGTGAAACCACAGCACAATGCAATGTATAATTAAAAGAATTATAATTATAGACAGCAGTTTGATCCGCATGTTGAATGCTGGGATAAAAATTACACCACAAAACACTAAACGCACATTACAGAAGCATTTTAAACAATCATACAATGTGCGTCACCAAAGCTATGTAGGACATGTGGAGGTATATTAACTTGTGAAAATCTGTATACTAAAACGTGTACGTAGTTTTATGTCGAAACAATTTTTCTCATAATTTCACACCACGCATTACCTCACAATGCCGGAATAGGCAGCATCGGAAAAACGACGGACGTCGTCATAGTCCCGATTGAGGGGTCCCGTGGGTGAGAAGATCTGGCAGAAAAGGAGAATGCACACAGTGTAAATGTCTCATGGTCAGTGGGAGCACTCGGTTCAACCGCAACAAAAATGTGACCGTGGGAGCAAGTGAGCCCAGTGACATCATTACCAGCCTCTTTTCCGTGGAGCACTGGCAGGGCACCACAGACACCTCCTTGTAGAAAGCTGCATCCGCCTGTGGCAATGCAAGATGAATCATGTATGACAAATGTCACATTATCAGGATATCACTATCAACCATGCATTATTGCACAGATTATTAGATTGGCCAAAACTGTCAATTTTATGTTTCCCTTGAAGGCATTTCTATGGACAAACCTGGGGAGTTTTTTTCCACTATAAATGAGCATAGTCGCAGAGCTCATTTGTAAGTACGGGGAGAAGTTAGAAAGCAAACAAAACACCGAGTCTGGAACCACAAAAGGTACGTTGAGGAAAAGAAGCGTTCCAGCAGGAGGCGTGGATGCTCAACAGAAGTGTTACACCAGGGGTTCCCAAAGTTTTCAACTTGGGACACTGCCCCCCCCCCCACCCACAATTTGCACATCCAAAAAAACGCATGCATCGCAATATCGTGCCGTTGACGTTCTGGCCTTGACCAGGTAGGAGTTGTGAGGATGGATTGTCGGAGAAGACTTAAATAAAGATCGATAAACTTAAACGTTATTTTAATGATGTAACTCAACATATGCCTTCACTTTTAATCTTTTGGACAAAGTTGCAACTCCCTCTCCAATGACCACAGGACACGACTCAGACTGAAAAATTCTTAACTACATTAAACGTTCCATACTCGAAGAGGAAAATGTGCACACCACGTGGCGGCTGATAAAGAAGCAAAAATATTAATAAATTGCCAACGCTATAACCAAGCTCCATTATGTCCGAGTCGGTTTATATGGTTTGTGTACATAGGTCTGCGATAGGATTAACTTTTACACAGCTTTTTATTTAAATTCGTTTTTCCTGTTTGCAGTAAGCTCTGGCACGTTGTGGAAATAAAATTTGCTGTTGCTCGTTACTTTGCACATTTCCACCCTGCAATGTCCTGTAACTGCCGGCAATGCCGATGGGGTTGGGCTGTGGTCATCCTTGTAAAAATGAACTGCTTAGCTCAATGGGCCTTGCCAACTGAAATAAAGTAGTCAGAGTCTAAATTAGGGTGCCACCCACTACACTTTAAAGTATTAGCTCATACGGCATTCATCAAAATGCCATTCCATTTTATAACCATTGTACGCATTTTCCTGTTTACCAAGGTCTCTCTTGACAAATAGACTTTTGGTCTCGATGGACTCTCAACTTGTTTTAAATAAAGAATTTTATCATTATGTGTAAACTAACAACTGGTGCCGAAGTATTTTATCAGCTATGACAGTTTCCTTAAACTAGGCCTTACACAACTCGTGACTGCTGCAGACCAGAGGAGTCTAAGAAGCCAGTAAACTGATTGTTTTGTTGTGCGTTTGGCATTTGTACAGCGGGCAGAAGAAGTTTGTTTTAAAATTCTTCAAACACAAATGAGCTTCCAGAAAAAAACAGCGTTTTGCTAGAAAAAGTCATCTTGACAAACCAGCTGAAGGGGTCCCACAGAATTTACAGCTTCAGTCACCCGATTACACCTTTGGCAATAAAAAAAAGAGGGTCCACAAAGTAAAGGAAACCTAAATAGTCAACTCGTGATTTAGGACAATTTAACAAGCGTGTCCTCGGACTTTGTGCCAGAACTCTGAAAGTGCTTACGTTCATTTGTGCAAGATGTGAAAAAATTCTGGCCAACTTGATAATTTTTTGTGATTGTACAAGGAGGCAGAGTTCACAAAAAAATTCAGACTACAAAATATTTATCCTGCCTTCTTGCCAAAAGTCTAAACTCAAAAGGACCTTTGGACAGACGTGTTTTTTTCTGCGTAGACACCACAATTCTTACGAAGGAAATCTATTCGCTTTGCGTTTCACTTCACCATTGTTTATGCGATGTTCTGTCATTATACCAAACACACAGATCTCGTGGAAAAATTGGTAATTTTCCTTAAATCATGTCAATTAATTCGTAGCTTTGGGCATCGTGCGTCTCAGGTGCACACTCGCACACGACTCCACACCTTGACATAGGCGGCCAGCTTTTCCTGTATGCACTGCAGATCACCGGACAGATTTGTGACATTATCCGTCACCACCACCACCCCGTCAAATCTGCACATAGATAGGAATGTGAGATGAACAGACATGAGGCCATCTCATTACACACAAGACACTTCAGCTATTAATGCAGCCACCTAAAATGCACACCCACAGCCAATGATCCTCGTATAGCCATACGGACTTTTAGGGGAAGTTCCGTCAGCGAGCATCCATTAAGGCAAAGTCTTCAATGTTGGTGGTTGTACAGCCTTTATCTTGCTGGTGCTGATGTTAGCACACCACAGAGGTAATTTAGCCAAAATCCATGAGATGATCAGATATACGCCCGTACCACACCTATAATATCCACGGCTGGGACTCAAACTCGGGTGACATTTCAGTTTTTAAAAATGGACGCCAGCAATTGCAACAAGTGTCACCAAGGTAATTATTTTTACGAGTCGACCATAAAAAATAATCCTTTCTCGACGAGGCATGCATAAATATTCGTACTCTTACCGGTCATCTTTGATGGTAGTCACATGGACGATGTTAAGTGCCCTGCCAGAGAGAAAAAAACTTCAAAACCACAGCAGTAAGGCCCCCTCCACTACCACCTTGCAGGCATTTGGAAAACCTTTGCGACAAGCTTGAGCTGTATAAATTATACTGCTCGCCAGACCACATGCAAAGCTGTATCTCACTGCAAGGGAACTTTTTGCGAGTTGCAAAGTCAACATTGGACACGTTTGTGAACTTAAGTTTAACTCTGTATTTAAATGTTGTTGCATCAGAACCCGTTTGCTGTTGCTGCTTATGATGATGTTAGATAATTATATCCCGAGTGGAAATAAGAGGCGTTGTGTTGGGTTTTTTCCCTCCTTTTCATATAATCGTATCAATTGCACATTGGCATTAACTCATCTAACCTATTTCCTTCAGGCGACACATTTTAAACCAAAATAATACTCTAATTCACACACCTCCCTCCACCCACCTCCCACACAAAGGCAGAAACAAGTCCAATACTGTGTTAACTAGAGCCATAGAGAAGTGGGAACCACGTTCTCTTCGAAAAAGTCTGCCGCTTCCTCTGGAAAGTCATATCAGCATAGGGCCTTTCCCCTAGCCTATACAGTACAGCATTGCTGTGTCCAATGACAAAATGCATCAGTATAAAATGTGGGCGCTAAGTCCCTATACCCCTTTACCATTCGGATTCCAGTGAAGCTCGTAAGATAGGGGTAACTGGACTTTGCGCCCACCCTTCACTTATGATTAAGGATCATGTTAAATCTGCATTCATGTGCGAGCTTAGCTGCAATAGACATGTTAACCTTATGGAGAGAGCCCGGAGGTCCCATAAGCCCCCGGCTCTCGTGTAATCTGCGATGAGGCGTCATTTAATGTCTGTTGAAGGCGAACGACACGGCGATCGATTCATCTCTACGAGCTCTACACGATGCATTGATCAAAGTTTACAAGTTTTGTTTCTTCTGGACATTCGACATGACGACAGTGATCAGTGCCAGGTGGGTCCGGTGAGACTGAGTCGTCAAAAATAGATTTATTAATTACGCCAAGTTTGGTTTTCTCTTTCATTGATTACGATTTTGACTTTTGTTTTATTCGGGATGAGCTTCATTCATTATGCAACCTAGTGTCCTGTTCGTCAGAGCAATCTTAGCTTGAGCCAGTTTTCATAAATCAACTTGTTACGTCACTATTCCTTCCGCTTCTTATTAACATTTAAATTTCGCGCGGTCTACGCAAGTCCTGGTCGTGGCTTGTAATGTGGTGAGAAGCAAGTTGGAAAATAAATAATTGGATACATTAATTTAGACACACACAAGTGACGTTCACTGCAAATTACACCGAGTATGTTATATATATATATATAGCATTACATTAAGTGTAACAAACTAATGTGGAGGATAAAGATACACATGAAGGCGATGCAGTCTATTCTATTACAGTATTCTCCACATTTCACACGATGTATAAAGTGTATGGAAAGTTGGAGTCAGTCTCTCGTATAACCCCGTAGCTGTGTGACCATATGTATGCAACTCAATTGAGTGCGTGACCAGCCCGAAACGAATCAACTTTCCGCGGATAATAATCGAATATATGAAGGCCAATTAAACTCGTAAGATTCGTAACACCTATAAATAAATTAAACAGCGCTTACCGACAACCACGACGCATACGCACGAACAGGTTAATTTGTTTAAAAAATATACATAGCCAAGACGAATGAAACGCGTACTATTTGCAGCCGAACCAGTTTAATGTTTGCCTAAGTGCAACCACTCACCACAAAGCCTCCATTGCACCAGCACGCACGCAAGTGAGTGTGCAAGTCGAGTTCACTGCACGGCTCCTCCTTTTATAGTTCAGATGGGCCACGCCCATCTAATTCCATACATCAGATAAGCGCAACCCCCCCCCCCTGTTTAACAATCCCTACAACTGATAAGGCGTCCCGCTATTTTCTAGAACGCCCACTGCACATGCGCCGTGGCGAGTTGCGAATCCCTACTGCGCATACGCGACGAGCCTTTTGCACTTCGTACAGCGGATACGCAATAGGCCCGGGGGGTGGGGGGCGGGGGGCGAGTGGAGGGGCGTGACTTAACCCCGCTCAGCCAATAAGAAAGCGCTCGAGACCCATGTGCTCACGTGACAGACTTGTGATTGGCTAGCGCTGAGGGGGGAGGGGAAGAGTCACGTGCGCAATGAATGAAAGGTGCTTTGTGATTCGCTAAGGTAGAGGGGGGGGGCGTGGTTATATAAAAGGAGGCTCGTGATTGGCTGATATTACGGAATAGGAGTCTCGCGCGTGACCGGAAGCGCGGCTCCGCTCCACGTCGGGACGCCAGAAGGTGACGCTTCCTGTGACGGGCGGGTCACGACCTCGCTGCGTCGCCGCCCTAGGTCGACTCGGCCTTAAATGAGCTGCCCGTTACTAAATGTACTGTACACACTTAGGAGACAAAGGCGGCCGTGCGTGCGTGCGTGCTCGCTGACGGCATTTGTGCCAGAAGCCTGAAAGGCTTAGCAAGAGTGTGTGCGCGTGCATCCCTTAGGTCGACTCGGCCTTAAATACAAAACAAAATTAGCCCGCTGTGAGCATCCAGCACTGGACGGCCGGGTGTGCTTGTGCATTGGTGGTGCTGTCCGTACCTTAATAGGTGCTCGCTAACAGCACGTGGGTCTCTACAAGGACACGTCTTCCGTGTGTGCGTGTGATGCATCTGAGTCGGGATGGCTGCACTTTGCACGCTGGCACATCACGCGGCGAGCTCGAGGCTGCTCTGCGCACGCCTCCTGAGCAGCTGTGCCGGTCTCTTCTCCCCCTCTCACCACCACCGCCGCTTGCAACATCCGCAGAAGCAGCAGCAGCAGCGCCTTCGTGAGCAGTACGCACAGCGCAGAGGCATGAGGCTCGTGCGCTTCAGCGAGACGGGCGGTGATGCTTCGCCCCGCCTGGGCGTGGAGCTGGAGGCAGGGGGAGACGTGGTGGCGCTGGGAGGAAGCCACTCCCAGGGTGGGGACATGGTCGCCTTCTTGGAAGGCGGAGAGGAGGCGATGCAAGCGGCCCGCAGGTGCGCGGATGGGTGGGTGGGCGATGGGCAAACACCGCCAGCCACGGGGAGAGGCGAAGCGGTGTTTGCGAGCTTCTCTCCTCCCTCTCGCCTGTTCTTGTAACGTGTTCTTCTCAAGAGGTCAAATTTGGGCTTCTCGTCCACATCGTGGTTAAAACCACCACCGTCATAACCGCAGGTCGACACACTTGCTGATTGTCCAAGTCGTTTCCCTTGTACAGCTGCTACACTCAGGAATTCACTCCCCATTGTCTCTCCCAAGTTGTTATCACCTTGCCCGAAACGCATACCTGTCAAACCCTTATCAATGCCTACCTTATTACAGACGAATTCAGACCGTATTGGTCACCCCGTGCCCTTATAAATCTCATCCTACAAAGTCCCATCACAAGGGAGAAACACAAATAGACAAAACAGTGTTTTTACCCGTATGAAAACGTCTGTATGCCGTATGGACCTGAATAATACATTTCCCTGTACAAGAATGCGGGGAATAAACCGTATGGGTTGACAGCTATGAAAACGTGGCGATGCAAAACCAGCGGTAAATAGATGGGCCTTTTTGGCCAAGACGATTGCGTAACACGTGTCACTTTTTTTGTTACGTAACTTATCTACCAGCCCACTGAACTATTGGCTCTTTTTCAGAGGCCACCTGGCCACACATACTAGCGCATTGAATTGGCTTATCACATCTGGGAATTTAGAGTAACAGCCAAAAATAGTTTCTAAATGTGGAGGGGGGAAAACTGAAAATCCACGCAACCACGTGGAGAGAGAGATAATGCCAACTCCAAATACAAAGGAGGCATCGTCAGGGTCCGGGGTCGAACCCAGGGCCTCCTGCATAGCAGGCAAGGGAGAGGTAGGTACATCTATCTCGCCCCCAACAACACGCCTCGCGCGTACGACGGTATATCGTGCATAAGTCCTCGCTTAACGTGTGGTGTACCAAAATATGAGAATTCTCATATTTCCTCCTTTGCCAGTACCAAAATATGAAGATTTCTCATATTTTGGTACTGGCAAAGGAGGTCCCATATTTTGGTAACAAAATATGACAATTCTCATATTTTGGTACTGGCAAAGGAGGTCCCATGATGTAGCTGCTCACCCAGAGCTCTCATTACTCTGATAGTGCTTGTCTTTGTGCTGTACGCCTTTTGGCGTCCTCTGGTCTAACACCTTTTGACAAACTACTACTTTCTTGAGCCTGCGCAGCTGAATGATACAGTACTCCGAATGATATAGTAAGGCGGCGGCGTATCCTCCGTTATTAGCCCCGCCATCTCGCTGCGTGCGTGTGTGCGTAGTCGTGCATCGTATCTCGCCAAACCTCATCGTGATGCCATTATTAATGGCTAAATAGTTTTCGCAAGATGCGGCGCTATTTCGGGAACGCATATCACGCGTTAAACGAGGACTTGCGGTCTTACAGTAACCCGCGCGTGTTCCCTGTCCCCGCACGCCAGGTCGCTGGACCTGCGGGAGGTGGTGGTGCCCCGAAACCGGCTGCGGCTCCACGCGCCCGTGCACCGGCCCGACAAGGTGGTGTGCGTGGGCATGAACTACCGCGACCACTGCACCGAGCAGAACGTGGCCGTGCCCACGGAGCCGATCATCTTCAGCAAGTTCGCGAGCGCCATCACGGGGCCCTACGACGACATCGTCCACTCGGCCGAGACCAACGTCAGGCGGACGTTCGGAAACTCTCTGTTTGAGACGGGCGCCGCGCACGCGACTGTTACTCGCGCGCCGCATCTCTGTTGCGCGGTCACTGACCCAGTCGAACCTGGCTGAAGTAATTGCATGTTCTTAATTAATGAGAGGCTCCGGAAAGTAAGACACGCTTCAAACTTGCGTCCCGTGTCAACCGAGTTGTGCAAATCTACACACACACGGCACAGCACACCTAGCGAATTATAAGCCACACCTCCCAACTTTTGTTTAAAAATACATGGTGGGGGAGGAGGAGGGGGTGTATGTTGAACTTCTTTCGCACCGTACGTAAAACAACCGCACTAATCGGCCGCAGAAGCGCATGTTGAAAGCGCGCGATTTAGTGACCGTCTTTGTTCGATGGTTAGCCTAAAAGCAGCTGCTGCGAGGATGACCGGAGTTCGCGTGATGGTTGATACTCCTTGACGAGATCAACGAGGTATTGGGAGGGAGAGGGGGGGAATGTCTTTAAAGGAACGCTCGTGTAATGTGAAGGGAGGGTGCTGTAGAAACTTATTGACGCCTGCCCGCTTTGTACTCCCAGGAGCTGGACTGGGAGGTGGAGCTTGCGTTTGTCATCGGGAAGCAGGGGAAGCGGATCGAGGCGAGTGCTTTTTATGTTTGGTTTGTTGTCCTTCCCCCGCACCTCCGATTAGCGCGGTTGGCTACGTGCGGTGCGAAAGAAGTTCAGCACACGTACATGCATATGTTGGATTCCCTTGTCAACATACTAAGATCACTGTAATGTAGCATGCATGAGAGGGCGCTATTGACACACGCTCGCTGCTCTTGCACAAGCAAATCTGCGTGAGCCAACTTAGCCACGTGGCTCAGCGGTGAGGGAAAGTCGATTAAGCCAATAGCTGCGGAGATGCCGCGTTTGAATCTGTGATTTAAAACGTTCCTCATTATCCCAATTTCGCCACGATTGTGCTATCCGCGTTATGTCACGGGATGAGGCGTCCATTCGGATCTGTCTCAGAAGAGCGCAAACGACCCTTTGTGCGAGAGAACGACCCACATAAGTAGACACCACAGTGACATCTGAGATCTCTTCCAGTGAGTCTGTTCCACAAAGAAGGGGGCAGCACTTTCCCACCCATTCTGCCACCGATAGTAATAATGTTCATTGTTTGATAGTCCGACGGATCAAAAAATAATTTCAGAGCTTGAATTTTAAGCAAATGAAGTGCATATGGAAACTTAACGCGTTTTTGTGCAGTCGTTGGTGACTGGCCGAGATGATCAACTCCCTGCACTTTGAGGACCCAGTTTAATTACTGGTGTGGTTTCCATGGTTAGGCCCGGGCTGGCCTCAGGGCAGCAGTCCGAGCAAATGCTCGGTGGGCTGGTCCATTCCGAAGGCCGGTCTATTTTATTACCTCTAATGTGTATGCTTCATTGGTTATTTACGCTCTCAGTTGGCATTAAGGCCCATATTCAGCAGCCCCAAATATTATTCCTACACCGGCCCATTTGTTTTTTGCACCAGTCCAAATGGGCCAATGAGATGGCATGGAAATTTGGGCCGGTGTGTTTACAAATTCCTCGACCCATTTATTAGTCCCAATCCGTCACTGTCCATGGTGCACAATTATCATTATTAGTACGTTGGTCGTTGTTGTTGGCAGGAGGCGGCGGCGATGAGCCACGTGGCGGGGTTCACGGTGGCGCACGACGTGAGCGCGCGGGACTGGCAGATGCGACGCAACGGGCGGCAGTGGCTGCTGGGAAAGACGTTCGACACGTTCTGCCCACTCGGCCCCGCTCTCGTCACGCCCGACGAGCTCTCTGGTACCGTTAAGACACGTCATCGACAACAACGTGCAGTTTTGTGTTGTTGATTATTAACAAACAAAAAATGGTTTGAATTAATGCTGGTTAAACCGTTTCCCGCTCCGAGATGTCCGCAAGTTGCAGGGTGGGTCCCGTTCACCGCTGAATCTCGGAACGCGCAAGCGGTTAGCGTTGATTTTTTTTAGAGAGGCGTAGTAGCGCTGTTGTTTTTAAAGATATTGTGCTGTACTCGCCACAGAGAACTTTAGCGACACGACGGCACTCTACTATAACTGACGCCAAACTGTGCCACATGCCCTCCCGCACGGCCTTTTACTTCAGATTCCGTTCGGAATCAATTCGAATCCATTCGGAATCGGAAGAAAAACTGATGACATGTACATACATACGTCATTGGAACGGGAAAAGGGTTAACTGCCAAAATATACTCTTTTGTTCTTTCGGTAAAGTCACGTAGGTATAAAATAAAATAAATCACGACGTTTCGGGCGCAACACAAGCGTCCATCATCAGGTGGGAAAGCATGGTCTACGAAAATATGACAGGTAAGGACCATCTAAGATATGAGTCTTAGTTTCACACGAATATATAATGTTTCTCCAGACATATTGCCCGCTTATCTATTTTGTTGCTAATATTCTCCACAAGGAAGCCAGTGATTATGTTGCGTGAGCATTAACGTGGCAGTCTAACTGCACCGAACGCTGCGGTCTTGTCGTGCCCAGACCCGCACAAGCTCGGCATTCGTTGCCGGGTCAACGGACAGCTCGTGCAGGACAGCAGCACCGAGCAGTTGATCTTCAAGACGGAGGCGCTGATTGCCTGGGTGTCTCGGTGAGTTTCCACCAAAGGCAATGATCCCCCCTGAGGGCATTAACATACTGTTGGGGCAAGTGCTGTTGGTGAGCACCTATAGGCGAGTTGCCACAACTATCTGCACAAATAAAGCGGTTAAAATCCAATGCCGCATGATGGCAAAGGACATTTGCCTTAAAAGGTTTGGAGTTCACCAACATTGATTGAAGAAAGAAACCGGTCCAGAGTTTGCTTGTACTGGATTAATGCTGCTGAAATAATTCACTGCCAGAAGGCCCGTGGGGCCGATTTGTTGAGTAAAGAATACTTGGATTTAAATTTGCGTGGAGAGAAATTTATGAAAGAGAAATTACTAATCAATTTAGTTAAAACCTAGTTCATTGATTCACCTGCAATTAAGTGAAGTGTCATGATTCAGTCAATTCTATTTAAGAAACGAATCGATTAATTTGCGTCCTGTTCGTGTCTCATTTGTCATTCGTGTCATTTATTGTTGTTTACGCCATTTTCCTAAATTAAAGAGCATATCATGTTTTATCGAACGTCCGTAAATTAAAACAACGCTTACACACATAATTTGATGCATGTACACGGAGCGTTAAGAATAAATTGTAAACGACGAATCGATGCGTTGTGACCTGCCTTCTGGATACACATCTGCACGATGGGACTGTTAGTTTTTGTTCGAAGTTACATCTTACCTTCAGTGCAGCATTGCATGTGCACACAGCTGGCAGTGAAGATCCCCCATCAGGTGGGCTTGCATAGCTTGCCTCTATCGCATTGCCCCCCCCCCCCCCCCCGCTGCGCGAGTGTGCAGGTTCGTGACCTTGTACCCGGGCGACGTCTTCCTGACGGGCACTCCGCCCGGAGTGGGCGTTTTCCGCAAGCCGCCCGTCTTCCTTAAGGTAACATTCCAGCCCCCCACCCCGGGGTGCTGGCGTTGGCCTACGGAGCAACATCGAAAATATTCGGTGGGGGGGGGGGGGTAATCGATGAGAAAGAAAGTAAACTGTGGTGGGCAGAGTTGCACATGAGCTGCCAGGCGGTTGTTGGCTATGCACCTGGCCTGTAATCCAGTGGCGTGGTGGCAGCGAGGGTTGGGTGGATCATGGCACATGTTCGCATCGAGGTGCCATACCCTAGTTCGCCAGCAGAAAGCGGCACAGCATAGTGTTGCCCCCCCCCCCCTTCCACACGTGAGTTCTCTCTGGGTGCTCTGGTGTTTCCCCACGTGTAAACGCTCATTAATTGGTGAAGAACACCGTCATATATAGAGAACTGCAGAGCTTGGTGCGGGGTCACCGTGTGGCTGCCTCTGCGCTTGTCTGTGGTTCCTCGCGCCTCCGAGTCGTGCTCTCTTCTCTCCGCGAGTGCGAGTTATAACCGTGCACTTTACAAGTTGAATTTATTAATTTAGGCCACAATGCAACGGCACGATCCACAGAATGTTTGGAGATGTTGTTTTGTGCCGCATTTAGCTTTAATTTTATGTAGGACACTTCAACTCTGTGCGTGTAGCATCTGCTGCTCATTACGCGAACAAAGAAGTATAATCAATCGCACGAGTCCCGTTTTAAATTGGTTGTGGCTTTTTTTTTAACTATGGGGGCAAAGGGTATTATGCAAGGGATAATGAAACCAGAAGTATTCGTTTTTATTTTTGGTTATGTCATAATGGATTTTTTTTTTACCTGAACATTACTTGATGTTTTTTTTTCTTTTCGTATTTCTAGAGAGGAGACACGGTGGAGTGCGAAATTGATCAGATTGGATCCATCGCAAACAAAGTGGTGTAGCGAAGCTCATCGCCCATTCGTTGCATTGCAGTTGCTTGTTTCGACCACTTAAATTGTACACAAGCCAATCTTTTTCATGCAGATTTTGATTATGGACACCACCCGTGGGACAAAAGTGCGCACGCACATCTGAGAAGACAACTTCTTGTAGCTTTTGGAATTGTCATGCACCAGGTATTATCTATGCAGGTAACCGCGCGCAAAGCGCGCGCACACACACGGACTCCACCGAGCGTTACCCATATATTATTGGTCAAGACATTTGAGCGACTACTTTCGGCGGTGACATGGCCGAGCGGTCCGGTGTTTATCGCTTGTTGCATAAGCTTTCGGTTCGAGGCCAGCGGCCACCCCGGTAAACACTGCCGAGTGGACGAACGAAACGGGCGGTTTGCTTGACAGTGGCCATGTGCAGCCGGCTTCACGGGCTAATCATGAAAATGCCCCCCCCCCAGCTGTTTTGGGTGAAATAATTTGTCATGGTCATCTACAGGAGAACTCTTTATCTGCGGTTATATGGGGGGGGGGGCCAATATCGTAGATATTATCCGTGTGGTTATCCACAATTTTATTCCCTTTCACCGTGGGGTAAAAAATAAAAATAAATCGTGGATAACTCTGCGGGTAATATCACGAATTTGCTGTGCCGGATGGGGTGGGGGGGGGAAATCGCCGGCATTCAGAAGCTGCTTTGCTACGCGTTTAGTAAAACAGCGGATAATAAAAAGAAATAGGGCCGTGGATTAGTTACCGTGGACCCTATAGCTACAATAGGAATCTGTCGAATTTCTTTCCCACCGTACGTAGCCAACCGTGCTAATAGGAGTCATGGGTAATAGGGGCGTGGATCAGTTTTATACCGAGACAACTGCAGACGATACTCGTCTGTGAAACATAGCGCCTTGATGGTTGCCCTTGTGCTCAAAGAATTCCGAGAGTACCAAATGTGCCAATGATCCGATTCGAAGTGCTGTTGAAGAGCCCCCATTTACTGAGATTGCCAAGGTTAGGGACTAACCCATGCATCTCCCACACAAACGAGGGTAGTAGCGCCTTTACACGATTCCGCAATGGAAACAGTGCGGAAGAGTTGAACCAATAAAGTTGGGAACACCCACCCACTGCATTTATTCCGTAGGCACAGATCGTATTCTGTAGGCACAGATCGTGTTCTGCGAACACAATACAATAAAAAAAAATTATTGCATACTTTGTCGTGCCAAATGTGTTTTTATTGCTTTTATTAAAACAGCACTTGGCGATCTACACGTTATTGAGCGAGTGCATCTCTTAACACGATACGAGCGAGGTCTTTTTACAGCATGTCTGTAAATAGCGTGCACCTTGGGGACAAGTTGTACTTAGAAATGTACCTCTGCCACACCTGCGCTGTTAACTTCGCCCAGTCACATCGCGCATAGCCGTGGTGCAAAGATTAGGCATCGCAATGCAACGTTGAGAACACAACGCCGTTTAATTTTGGATCTTCCAAATTGGCCATGATCTGTCAACTGCTGGATGAAGACATCGCCTCAACCATCACCGTCTCTCAGCCTTGTGATGCGAGTCAAGTTCCTGTAAGAGTAGATTGCTGCGTGTTCACGGCAAACGTGGGTTCCCACGTCTGATTGCCACTCTTATTCACATCCGTCTACCCAGCCCTGCTTATACTTTTCTTAACCCACGTGTACGTTGCTTTCGTGCATTGTTACACAATTTCACCTGTCATTCAAACGTGTCCATTGCGTTCCGATTCGTATGAGATAATTTGAACAGACCGTGTATGTGTAGAATCAGAAATACTGGAGGCACTTTTATATAACGAGCACCATCTGGATATATACACCTTACGTGGGTGCACACTATTATAATTAAGACAGTCTGTTGTCGGCGGTACTACTTAGTAAGAACAGTTGGTAGGCTGTCTAACAGCACCCCGGGATGGTGAAGACGGAGACGACGAGATAGCGACGGCGATTCCTCTTCCAGCAACAGCCCCGAGCTCCCGCTCCAGGCCCTCTTATGCTCCCAGCGTGACCTCGCTCCGCCCCGGCAACGCCCCGCTTCTGGAACCTACTCGCGGGTTCCCAGACTTACCGATGGCCCCTTCTATGAACTTTCCCTAGACGTCCCCCTCCCGTAAATACCGTGGCCTGCTGACGCCAGTCCTGCCGTACACTGCAGTTACCCCCTTTCCGCCAGCAGCCAGCGCTATACCCCGACACGTATAAAATGAACCAATTGCATCCCCGGTCATGCGTACAACTGAAATCAATATAGCTTTAAAAATCATTGCCATTATCAAGGTGCGGAGACCTTGTTACTCGAAGAAACGGTCTAGAAATGGCCATCCACTCAATTTCTGGCTTCCGTAGTCTACTTCCCACCGTCACTCTCCCGGTTATGATAACCTTGGTCAGTTCAAGACCTATGTGGTCGCAAAATACTTACTCCTAACGTTGCTGACCGTTGATTTACAGTACAGGTAGGTAAAAGCCATCGGGGGCCTTTGCTCAGCTTTGGAAAATTAACATTCCACCACCTATTGCACTTCTCCATGCAGTGAGGACAAACACTTCATTTTTGACCTCTTCCTCCATTCCAGAATTCACTGCCTACAATATGAACAGGTAATAGACGCAGCACTGCGTTTGATTTAGCTTCCTGCAACATTCAGAAAAAATATTTAAAGTTTAAACATTTAGAAAGGAATTTCTCAACCAACTTCATTTTAATTTCATCTGAACCCTCAAAACCCCGATATATTCTGAACTAGTTTTTGTTGAATAGAATCCCATTCCTTTTGCATCATATCCCTAACATTCATTTGCCTGCAGATTATATTTGGAGCCTTTCTTCACAAAAGCCACCTTTGGCAGATGGAACCAATCACAAGACACAATTTGCATACACTGTAATTCACTTATAGCACCGCGTGGAGAGGAGGCGGGGTGTTTGTTGAGCCAATAAACATCAACACTGCTGCAGACAGCCAGCAATTCATCTTATTTTTGGCAATATGCTCTCCTCGGGATACACCTGACAATGGAAGTGGCTGGGTTGGTATAATAAAATGGCCGTGTCACAGCACCTCACTGGCACAAATGGCATTTTGAAATTGAAGCTCGGTTTAAAATCCACTTGCGATAAAAATCCGGATAAGACTGCCACATTTGTAAAATAAAAAGTGGGGTTTCCCCTAAAAAATCAGTTTGCCGTGTCACGAGATGGGACTGTTTGAACATACTTTACCATGCCGATCAGTGTGGTGCGGCAAAGTGGAGGCCCAGGGGGACCGGTTTATACAACACTGTGCTATAAATGTAACTAAATTAAACAGACGCAAAAAATTTGTGATCGGGCCAAAACCACCAACTCGCTACACTTGGCCAAAATAACAGGCAACTGCATGGATTCAAAGCCATGATCGCAGTGGAGCCAAGTCCAGCATCTGATCTCCAAGGCCTTGCTTAAACATCATCTCGTTTTGGTAAACCTTCAAGGCCACCAGCAATCAGACAGGTACACGCACAGGCAGGGAACGGAGGCACAATGGCAACACCGCGCTTGCCGGCCCATCCACCTTCATGCACATCACAAAAAAATAGCAGTCGCCATCTCAAGTTGATTATTTTATTATCAAAACAACATTTTTGGGTACTTGTAAAACACATTTCTAGGAATCATTTGGGTTACAACATTTTGCCGTGTTTTTTCGCTTTTATTTTAATTCATTTTCCGATTTCAGCAGCACGATGAGCTAAACTGCATTTAATATTTTATTTTCCTTTTCACTTGTCAAGTTTATTCAAAAATAACGGCAGGCAAAATGACAAATCAACATTCAGTTACTCTGCTGCTATGCCTGCAGGCACAATGAATTTAAACGAATTCTCTAAAACACATCCGATAATCCACCTTGTTTGATGTTTCACGCCACCCTCCTTTGGACATGTAAATTGCACACCAACAACCGGTAAAACAAAGGCAAAACGTCAATATAGAAACTGAAATCAATTAATGCTTATAATGCACTGCATCGAATCATGTGTGGCCTTTTGTTTACACAAGCGTGCCAATGTCGCATTCGGGCCAACGATCACAAGCGGAAATAACGAGATTTTTAAAATATATATTTGCTGTTGCAACAAATTGCGACCACGATTATTAAAAATTTAAGGGAGTGCTTCATTGTGAGATGCCAATTAAATCAAGAGACGAATGGAGGGGCACAGGAGGATGTTTGATAAGCATTGTGTCAATACAGCAGCAGCAGCAGGTAAGTGAAGGCGCAAACCAAAACACAGCTCGTTCCATAGATACAGTCTGGCTTATGACCAAATCGTCTGGTATGAAGCCGATCCCCGTCAGAGCTCGCAAGCTTAAGCAGGTTGACGCCTGGATAATGCTTGGATGGCCTACCACCATGCAGAGGTATTGTTGGCGGCAGGGCTACATGGCGAACGTCTGTTTATGCCCCACGCCTTCAACCCATTAAGTTACCTGCATTTTGAATTGTGGTCAAACTCCTGCAAAACTTGCAACCATCCAGCAGTGGATCGATAAAGGGCCGTAGACCTACATACGTAGTGGTACCCTATTCCAGCCAACACGTTTGAAGAGATGTTAAAAACCAAACCAGTTCAAAACATCGTACGAGACAAAACAGTCTCATACAATTCTGTGGATGTGAAGCCTGTTCATGTAATTAGTTGTGTAGTACAGAACTGTCCGACAGGAGCATGAATCCTCATTAAAAGTCGGCTACGCATCTGCAAAATAACAAGGGTGTGTTTTGGCTCGAGCCTTCCTTTAAAAATTCACCAACTCCCATCCCGCTAACACACACGATTCGGTTATCCAACCAAACCCCTGCTCAGGTGCAAATTCAGCAAATGCATATGGATGCATCCATCTGCAAATTAAAATGCGCTGAAAAAAAAGTCCAGAGAAAGCAGATGTTGGGTTTTGCAACCTCTTGGTTGCTCAAGTTTTGCCAGGCCTATCCCCCCCCACACACCCCCTCCCCATTCCATAACAGGCACCAAGTCGCGTTTTACACTGCGCCTGCAAGCGTATAGTCAGGACCGCCGCAATCTGTCGGCAGCGGCGTGGCTATGGTGACATCGAGGTTCTTCTGGGTTCACCGTCGACCTTCTCAAATAGACGGCTTGGCAAGGTTGGATGGAGCCAGGTTGTGACTACAGTTGGGTTTTGGGGGAATAAATCGTTTTGCAAGAAACATTGTCCAAGTGGTTCTGCCGTCACCGTGGCGAGAATGAGAATCGGGCACATGGGGGCGGGAAACGGTACCAACGGTACACGGGGCGCATCCGTTCGTTACGAGCATCGTCCTCCAAACGATACTTGTTCATTTGCAGAGTGAATAAGACTTATTTTCTGAAATTTTAGCGAAACTCATTGCAACAAACGCCACGGGTACCCAAGTTGGCACGGCAAGCTATGCTTGTGCGACATCGTAAGCAGTGTCTTGTACCAGCGAAAGTTATTCAAACAAAAGTTGATTAAGAAAAACAAAATGTGCAACAACCTTTCAAAATGAATAAATTTTATATAAACGCAAAATAAAACCCACACCTATAGCACACGTCATATCAGCGGCAAAGAGACATCCATGCCTTCTGCCACTGCAGATTCGCACCAGTTTTTTAGTACGCCTTCTCACCATACACTATAGGGCCCCTTTCACCCACCTATGCAGTCGAGCAAAATTCTTAGTGCCTCTATAACTCATTTGGCTATTTAACACTCTGCATTATAATTATGACGGTTACAGGTTAACATCAACAGCAAGGTCTCACGATTGCAAAGTCGAGTTCAAATCCAAGATAAAGCTTGAATCGTCCCCCTTGGAGTAAGTCGAGACCGCACCAGAGCTGGCGAGGTGAGACTGCACCACCATAAACGGGCGTCACATGGACAGGTCTGTTATGCATGTCGAAGCTTATTTTGCACCGTACGTGCTAATCAGCGTTGCATGGAAGGACAACAAAATAAACAAAAATCTGTCTGGATCCTGGCTTGGAAAATGTGAATTTTCACACCACCAGAACAATGGAAAGGCGTAGTAGTGTGCGGTTTTGTTCGAAGCATGTGGGGTGGGGGGGGGGGAATGCTCATCTTATGGATGTGTTGTCAACTTCCCAGACCACTGGCAGTGCACGTGATGAGGAGCTGAAGGATTTCAAGGCTGATACTTGTCCCTGCGCTTATGCAATTGCAGCCGATTCCACACCCTTGTGCAGTGCCAAAATAAACAATAAAAATACGAGGAATTCTCTTTAAACCAGCCAAATCAGACGAACCCCGTAAATCGGCACTGTTCACCACGTGCATTCAAATTCACCGCACAGCAGCCCGTTAAAGAGAGTCAACCGAGATTAAACCAGCCGCCGGAAAAAGCAGCGATACGCACTCCCCGGCGATCGACAAAGCCTCTCCAACGGATGCGTTCTCCCAAACGCAAATAAAAGTCGACTCGCGCTTTTGATTGTGCGCGCCAGGAGCCAATCGACACATTTCCTGATCAACCCGAGAGTACGACGCAGGGTGCAGCAGCGACTCGCCGGTGCCCTCGCACAGCCGACGCCGCTGGTGCCAGTGCAAAGCTTTGATGGGATTGCCCGGCAGAGGGGAAGGCGCTGACATTTAGGGCTAGAAAGCAAACTTTTTTTTTAATCGCACGTCGTTTTAAGTTCGGTCGTGCGAATTATTTGTCTTCGTCGATGCTGCCGTCCACAGGAGACTTTTTCTACATGTGCAAAAGCACTTACTAATGTGGGGGGGGGGGGGGGTGGGGAAGGGGGGCAACACAAATTTACCCCACAAAATCTTTGGGCACATTCCACCGGGGTGACGGCAAACCACTTGGGGAAAGGGCCTACACCCGTACCCCGGTGGGATACCAATGTACCAGCCATGTGGAAGTCGACCCCATTCATTTGGGGGACACCATCGTCTCGGCTTCCGTACACTCGCTACGTGTTGATGAACAAGGTTCCCCCATTTTGTTGGGGAGGGCAGCATTGACTGGAAAAACCATGTAATTTTTTTACCAAGGTACAAAATCCTATTATCGCATATCCTGGCCATGTACACTCATCACAAATGCATGTTCAAGGTAGCTTTGTATTGTGGTTTTGGTCGACTATAATCTGCTTTTTCATATGCATATATATATACACACAGGCACACCACAGATGCACACTCGAACTAAAAGTTTTTAAAACGGCTCATCATTTCACCATTATGCAAATCATCAAAGCTGTGCCACGGCATCCGGTCCACCATACCCCCACAAACTGTGTGGGAGACCTCCCCCCTCGCACAAGCGAAAAATGTACAGGTTCATTAGGTACAGTATAAATAACACCACCAACCTCGGGCCGCTTCGCTTAAAATGTAAAAAGAAAATAAATAAAATCGGCCATGAAAAGCACTACACACTGGAGAGGGTTTGGCCAACAAAGCACACCACAGGGCACGTGGGCGCAGCACAGTGCCAACGCAGAAAATGACTTTGCTCAGCAGATCTTCCGCGTGCCGCTCTCCTTTAAAAAGAAGTCCCACGGGGTCGTTCTGCGGAGTCGTTCCACGGGGTCATTCCGCAGGACTTGCGATGAGGAGCAGCAGCGTTGGTGTAAACGCGCCGGATACCGGGGCGCGAGATGGGCGTTACTTTTTCACGGAGTTCCGTGGTGATGTGCAGCGAAGTGTAGTGGCAATTTCATCAGCGGCCGCACACCGAACCGGCAAGGCAGTGTCAGGTGGGGGGGGGGGGGGGGGTCGCCAGGCGATTCTCTTTAAAAAGTCTAACTTCAACTGCCGCCTCTTTCAGCGAACAGCCTGGGTGCCCGCCGTCCCACTGGTTACCTCTACATGCTGTGCTGCTTGGCAGCCTTGAGGAGGCTGTCAAAGTCCAAGGGGGCCATCGCCGTTCTTCGGTCAGTACTCCTCTCCAAGCCTCGGTTCGAGTCTGCACCAGGGGGTCATGGAAGGCAGTGGAGGAAGGGGGGGGGGGGTGGAACAGAAGCGCAGAATCCACGAGTCAATGACACCGCCATAATCACGGTGCCGAGTAAAATAAAGTAAATCTGGTCACACGCACAGATACAACCAGCAGATTTCAACGACTCGCCCTTAATATTTTCTCTTAAGTAAAAGGGGGGGGGGGGGTGGAAAAAAATTACTTTTTTTATAACCTGGAGAATATGGTCCAAATTTGACTTCCGCAAGTCAACTCAAATACAACTTCACTCACTTACATTCGGGTCCTGAGGGTTGCTGTCGCATGGGCAATGGTCACACTGGACTTGCAATGCATAGGTCACCGGGGTTTGAATTCATCTCCCGGCACAGCAGTTGAAAACGATGGTGCACACCCAGCAATGTCAACCCAGCAGTTTAAATTAGATAACGGCCGTTTGCGCATGATGGGGTTTGGCCTACTCTTCTACTCTGACCAAATAATCTCTCTAGAGCTCCCTCCAGTCGAGGCTTTTCCCTGCCAGCAGTCGTGCGAGCAAGAAAAATGCAGGGCTGCACCTTTACCTTTTTCTCAGCCTTCCATAAGGGTCTTAATGACGACTATCGCCAAGCGGTCTCTTTTCTCCTACTTTGAGTTTAGACTTTTTATAACACAAAACACGCGTCCCTCTGATGTGGGCTTCAGAGGTTTTTCACAAAGCTGCAAGTGCTTCACATGTCCTGGCTTGGCATAATATAAATGATAAAGGACGGCAAGCTTTAAAAGGTTTAGTTAAGCATCAATCCTTTCAGCCGCCACTTCAGATCGAGTTTCTTTATCAACGAGTTGTCTCAGGCAATTGCACGACCAAAGAAACACGGGGACAACGACAAACGCTGAAAACAAAAAACACCTGCACAACGGAGCACGAGTAAATGCATGCTCAGAATAGCAGCCAGAGAAAAGCAGCAGCTCCGTGAACATCGTGTTGATGGGGGAAAAATGGAGAGGTCTTGTTGCAGGACGCATTGCAAGAATGAAACGACGGATGAATGGGCAGGCAAAGGGGAGAACGCGTCCGATTTGATGACTGCCGCGTAGATGGGGCAATGAGATGAGCTCAACGCGTACAAGCGAGATTAATTGCGGCATTGCAAGACTGACGAATGAAAACGTCATGGGGGGGAAGGTAAAACAGGCAGCAGTGGACAGAACACTGGCTCGGGATTCCGATGACTATCGCAACTGCCAAAGATTCACGTGATCGAGATGGGGGTATCCGGGATGGGAGGGGGGGGCACAGGACGTGTGGGTTGAGGGGGCAGCAGTAAGTAGAGTACTCGGACAGCTTACCCAGGTCGGCGTAAGACGCCTTGCAGAACTGGCGACGGCCACCAAAGCACAGGTCGAAGGGTATCTCGTTGGGCAGGTGCACCATGTGGCCTTTCTCCAGCGCGGCGAACGCGTCGCAAGTGAAGCGGTAAGTCACAAAACCGTAGTTGTCCCTGCGGAAATAACATTAGGAAAAATGCGAATGTAAAAAAAATGGAAAAAGAGCCACGTTCCGAGAGACGACGACGAGACCACACGCAGCGACGTCACAGGGAGGAGAGCAGACACGCGTGGACGCGTGACGTGACCCTCGGGCCGAAAAGGCTTATTCATTAAAGCAGCCACGTTTTACGTAATCCTTTAAAACTCTATTTGAGTCGGGAAATTAAAAGAAACGACAATACCGCAGGTTATTAACTCAAATGCCATTCATAATTTGATCGCCTCTATAAAGAGTTTTCACGGCTCACACCTAACAGACAGGTTTCCGCATCGCGCTCGCATCCCGGCGCCTTTGGCAGTCTCGCCGATGCGGCCGCCTTGTACACAGGCATTAGAGAGAGCGAGGGGGGGGGGGGGAGATTGGTTGCCATGGTGAGAGTAGTACCCGCGCTCGCGGAAATGCACGCTGCAGTTCTCAATCTCCCCAAAGGACTGGAAGCGACGCCGAAGCTCCAGCGTCGTCATTCCGCTGTTAATCTTCCCCACGTAGATGACGCGACGCTCCTCCTGCGGGTGGGGCGTGGGGAGGGGGGGGGGGGACAGCGACGAACGCAACCAAAAATTGTAACTGATGACAAAACCACTCAAAAATCAACCGTCAATGATTCTGAGATACCGGCGCACACGAATCACGGTGACAGCTACAATTCTAGAGTGTGGATAAGACAGAGCTATGGCAAAGACAGCTTTATGCCAAGTTTGCAAGACTAATAACCAAGTAAACACATTCGAGGGGCATCTTCAGGGATAGGAAGACGTCCGCAGCGGCGCGTGGCCAAGGCTCGAGAGAGGAAAAAAACTAAACACGCCCCCCCCCAACCCAGCACGGAAGCTGGGGGTTAAAGTGCCGTGTGGGCTTACAATGGCTTTCTGGTGCAGCCGCCGCCGTTGATCCAGGATGTTGCTCTCGCGTCGTTCGAGCCACTGGCCGCTCGCTCCGTCTCTCGTACGCGTCGTACCTGCGCACCGCGGGGGGGCAGGTCAACGCAAGCTTGACGTCACGACGAGGCATGCGCCGTCCCTCTTGTAGTTCAAAACACAGCCCAATTGACGAGCGATGAAGTTGGTCGCAGGTAGACCTGAATCCAGGCTGAAGCCGTCTGGAATTGAACTGGGCTCATGAGCGTAAAAAGCTCGTCATTGGTCTCAACCCAGTCACCAATGACTGCACATAAACCATAACACGTTAGAATTGGTTCTGCACATAAATTCCAGCTCTGAGGGGAATATATATCTGTAACTTAAGCGATGAACATTACTCTTCACATGACGAAGTGCTGCCCCCATACTGTGGTGTTGCTCAGATATCACTTTCACAAATCTTAAGGCGTAAGTAGCGCTGTCATGTAAACTTCTGCGGCCCATTGTCTAAACACTGGGGGCGGCGGTGGTAAACCTCTTGCTCTGCGAGAGATCCGCACGGACACCGTGTCCGACTCAGACACGACGAAGGCACAACGTGAATGAATCCGAGGAGAGAACAACAACGAGCCACGACCTCCGCACGAACCTGGGCGACGGTCGGCGCGACCGCGGCACGTCCGAGGAGAACGACGGCACGGGGGACACCGATCGCCGGTGCGAGGACGTCGTCGTCGACGAGGATGAGCGGCCCCCTCCGCTGGAGCGGTATCGCCGGCCGTACCCGGACCGCGAGCGGCTACGCTGGCGGCCGCGCTGGTGGGGGGAGGCGGCGGCCGCCGACGGCGGGGACACAGAGTCGCGTCGGCCCGGCGAGCTCGAAAGGGACCCCCCGCCGGCAGCACTCGTCGGGGCCCTGTGCCTCCCCTCGCCGCACCGGCGGTCCTGCGAGCCCCGGCTCCTGGTCCTGCGGCGCCGGCTCCTGCTCCTGCCTTCGGCGTCGCCGCCGCTCGTGTCCGTGTCGCTGTTGGCCGTCTCCTGGCCGCAGTCGGCGTAAGGAAGGTTGGAGACCTTGCTGGCAGCACTCAGGTACACGGGCAACTTGGAGTAGTAGCGCCGGTGGCGGGCCGCCTTGCCGGGCGACCGCTCCTCGTCGCTGGCCGAGCTGTACTCGTCCGTCGTGCAAGTGCTCCTGCGGCTGCCCCTCTCCCTGCCCTCCGCCAGCCCCGCTGCTGCACGGTCTGCTCTCAGCGGCTGGTACTTGGGCTCGGGCAGAGACTTGCCGCTTCTGTAGTAGCCAGGCAGCTTGTCGTAGTAGCCGGGCTCGTCGTCCTCTGAGTCTCCGCCGCTGCTACTGCTGCCACCGCCGCTGGTACTGCAGCAGCTGCTTTCGTGCGCGGGCGGCGAGCTCCCCCGACTCGCTTCCCCTCCTCCTGGTGCTCGCGTGCGGTACTGCTGCTTGAGTTTGTGAGCTTCGTCCCGCCGCGGGTCGGCGTTAGCCGGAGCGCCGGCGCTCTCCGAGACTGTCGCCGCGGCGCTGCCCGCGGTGCTTTGCTGGCAATAGTCGTGATCGCGCACGTTGGGAATTTGAATCTCGGCCACGCGTTCAACAACGGCACCGTTCGCCCGAGTGACGCCGATTTCCGACTTGCTGGCCGAGCAACCGTTCACGACTTGAGGTGTGACGAGCGGCGACGCCTGCGCAGAAGTCGACGGAAGGTTGGCCGCAGAGACGCGGGAGACAATGTCCAGTTGAACAGCAGCAGTAAGAACAGCAGCAACTGAAGCGCAACTCGGGTTTGCAGCAGCCGGTGGCTTTCCGGCCACTGCTGGCACAAGCGATAACTTCGTCGAAGAGAGCATCTTAGCGGTTGCTGCGGCAGGGATGGCCACGCGTACGGGATTTGGCAAGGCGTCCGATTGGCAAGGCGGCGTACGATTGACCACCGGCTGAGACGCAGGCAGAGAGAGCATTTTGTCGGCCACGACGCTCGGCGACGCGACACCCAGGCTGGCCCGGGCCGGCGGCAGCGCCTGCTCAACTTTCGACAGCTTGACGGGGCCCACGGCGTTCGGAGCGCTGACACACGGGGGGTCCTGTGCGGCGGCACCCACGCCGGCGGGCAGAGGCGGAATCATCCTCGCGCCAGCCGTGGGAACGGTACCAGCAGCCGGAGCGAAGCGGCCGGACGCAGCTTGCGCTGCTGCGGGCGTCGATGGGGCGAGCTGGCCGGAGCACGGCTGCTTCGTTGCCGCTTCCAGCCGCGGCATTTTGCCAGCCACAGGGATTCCTCGCTTCCGAGGGCTACGGGGGGCTTTCCTCTTTGCCGAGGTTCCCCTCGACGCCAAATTGACTTTTGCGTCCGGCTTCGGGTGAAGAGACGTGCTCGGCGCAATTACACCTGGATAGGAAATACACCCACAGTTATTCTAGCGGCAGGTCGTGTGTGGCAGGTCATTGTTTGGATACTCACACCACTTTCGAGACATGTGTGGGCCAGTGTGGCAAAGTGGGCCAAAAGACCGACTGCGACAGAGGCTCGAGGCCTCTAGAAGAGCTCCTTCCAGCCAGCAGTAAAGAAAGCACAGTTGTGGGCTGCAGCGTTACCTCTTACAGAAGGGGTCGTCACAAAATGAAATATAAATGGTGCACACATTTTCTCCCCCCCATCAAATTATCGGCGACTCAACAAAAAACACACAAGCGCTGAACTCACCAGGAGTTTCTCGAACTTCGGAAGCAGACAACTCGAGCTCCATTCCAACGTCCTGGACATGAGCCTGGCCAAGTGTCCTGGAAAAGCACGCAGAATTTGCCAGCGAAATTAATCATTACAGTCATTGCTCAACGCTGAACGTGTCGAGAAACCCATGTCCAAGCTCAAAATAAGCTCCACATTCCAAAACACGTTTTGGAAAGCTGAGCACGTTCATAAAAGCAACCTTTATTACCTACATGAGAATAGGTTTTTCCCCTTTTATCTGGAAACAAAAAAGGTGTTAAGTTGTTAAAACACCAAACTCCTACGTGTTAAACAAACTCAAACCGTTTTCATATAAAAGGGGAAAAACCTATTCTCATATTTTGGTGCTGGCAAAGGACGTCCCAGGATACCTACAGGAATGTGAAATGTGCGACAGCGTGTCATCAAATGAACGGATACACACATGCGTCATGGAGTTCCAACACGTTAATTACAAACAAGGCCATCCCCCACATAACGGTCATGACGTGCGCAACCGAACGCACCACAAGTGCAGCATCTTTTTCTCAAACCGGCGGATGCGGTGGGTTTTACGTGGCCCGGTCTAAGAGGATACAAATAATAGCGGTGGCATGCCTGCCTTGGCAATCAACTCGGGCCCCCTTTGGAGGGTTGCCAGTGCCAACGTTACCCCACCGACACAGCCAACGGCCAAACTGACGACATCCAAAAGTAAAAAAAATGGTTCTGCCCCGGGGATAGCCTGGATTAGAAATAGCGACGATGTCATCCTTGTGGAATGATTCATGGGCCACTACGCAACGTTGGCAGCGACCTTTGTTTTGAACTTTGCGCTGGGGACCATGTCCCCGCGCGGGTGGGCCCCGTTCAAGATAGCACCAGACTTCGCCCTCCCACATGCGCCAACAGGCTGACCCACCTCCCCTCCCCCTCCCCAAAAGAGCGGGCGATTTGTTTAGGACCATATTTCACCAGAAGAACATTAGAAGGGTCGTTCAAGGACTGAGTGTGGCGTTTTGTCAATATATTTCAATAAAGTAGAAGGTAAACATAATGCATCTTGTTCTATACAAAAAGACAAAGTTAGCGTTTTGTTAAAATGTAAACGTTTACGTTTCAAACAGACGGCCATGGTCACGGGATGCGCTTTGCGTGTAGTTTTTATGCAAGCGTCCCAATTAGAAGTACGGTCTGTAATTGGGTACAATCCATCACGCGTAGGATACTTATCTACTTAAAGCTCATTCGCAGAGTCCCAAAACGCGCCAAAAGTGGCAATATATTTTATTATTTATTCTGCTAGCAAACTATGCTCTTTGGAAATATATCCATTTAAATTCATCTCGACGCCCTTACAAAAAAACTTTAATGCACATACTTAAAATAAAAATTATTGAATGGCCATGTAAACAAACATCCCTTTCAGTTTCAGAACAGTTAAAAACTACGATGCTCAGGATGCAATTAGGTGGCTGGTAACACCAACTGCAAGTGCTATCATGCTTTTTTGCGACCATTATCTTTTTAACAGCTTAACGCTTTGCTTAATCTTACAGGCGACCGAGTCCATTTCACGCAAGAGTGGAAAATTACCACGGGCGACCGAGACTACGCTAGGAATCGACAGAGAGACCAGGGCTGGCCCAACTGTGGCTCCCAGGCCGGCAGTTCAAGCGCAGCTCGTTAAGAGACGCCACCTAATATATTAAAACCTCACAATTTTTTTTTTTACAAAATAAGAGAAAATCTGTGCAAGCGGATGGGACAAGGGGACACCCGCCTCCCAGCAACGAAGATGGGACATTGTTACTTCCCGGGGTGCTTCTGCAGATTTCCAAATGAAAAGACTCCAGCCAGTGCAAGTGCAGTGACAGGGTGCCATCTGTTGACCATGAAGGATAACCACGGGTATGGGTGCGCTCTATAACAGCCAACCACGACGGGGGCGTAACTGGGCCAAGGGTCAGAGGTGGGGATCAGTCGGGAAGCTCCTGGAACCTGCATGAGAGTTGTAGGAGGAGGGACGTGGCCAGAGGCGGGTCTTGGCCACGCTGAGGAGTATATAGGAGGGAGGTAACCAGAGGTTCGAGGCTGTCGTGGGGGTTTGGGTCCTGGCTGCAGTCACCGTCTTTGCCGTCATTTTTTCATCATCGTCCGGCCCTATGGCCGATCCGCTGTACGGTCCCCATCGTCATTAGTCAGCCAGCTACATAGATGTGGCTGTATGAGCGGGTCAGCTATACGTAGCCAAGTGTATACGTCGCTCAGCGACTCTGCCTCGTCTCATACGTCGCTCACTACACAAGCAAGCTGGCTGTGTCCACTTCAAAGACAAAGGATCCCCCATAAAGCCTTCAGACTGTTGGGGAAAGTGCTGTTAGGAAGCGCCTATGTAGTCCAGCACGATGCACAAGGGAGTTTGGTTGGCCAGCACCATGTCTGGCCACCTTTGTCTCCCTAGTGGCCATGTTTATACATCACACCACATACTTATTTGAGGCCAAGTCGACCTTGGGGAGACGCAGGACCGATTCAGATAATCGTCAGACCCGAATCTCGCTGGGTTTGTAGCGCAGCACGCCAACCGCCACTCCCGCTCCCACCCTTCCAAATTCACCTGCAACGTGATATCTTGTGCCTCTTGGCCAGTGATATTTTGCAGGGTTCATGAACCGTGGCCACGTGTAGAACGTTGACGATTATGATCAGCAAGCCATCAATGTTTTCCCCGAGGTCAATAACGACGGGGAAAGCCTGGCCTCATAAAAATAACAGCCACTCACCCCACTGTGCGCGTTGCGGTCGACTCGGGTACTTCTCGTCTCTTTCCTGAACAAAAACACAAATCCAAGAGCCCTCAATCAATAATGGCAAGTTGGACCCAAAAATTTAATTTTGACACTGCAGCGCTGGAAACATTATGCAGTTTGCATTTTCGAAAAGTGTGACATGTTTTACACTTAATTGACCGGCTTACACAGGGCAATTACCTAATCATCTTCCTTTTCAGTTAAAGAATTATAATTGGACAGCAGCTCAAGCTCTGTCGATTAAACCACACGCGCACCCATTGGTGGTTTTGAATATTCCATCGTACTGGTCTCATTCCTCCAATTCTCCCTAGCATCTGCGACGAGAGCGGTAGGGTAGTATAGATTTCAGAGAGTCTCTCGCTCTCAGGTCTTGGCCAACAACCCCCCGGGGGAGCTGTTGTTTCACAAGTGCCTCCGTGCCGTTGAAGATCACTCATGCCTTTCCGATTTTTGGCGCAAACTTTTCATCTTTCACCCAACCCGAACGCCGTTCGCTCACTCGGTTGAAACTGCCAAAGTGGAATTCTTTATCGCTCGCAACAGACTCGGCAAAAAAACATAAAATGAAACATGTTGTTCCTGTAGCAAAGTGATCGTGCTAATCAGTGTAAATTCTGGTCAACTGCCAAATCTTAAACTTGATCCACAATGTACACAACTATCCACCTTTATACCGCACCCTCACCCCAGCCCCCAATAAGGTTGTATCATTTTAACTTCTCGCGAGTGGGGAAATTCAGGACTGCTGACAACCTGTCATCTGCCGTCATAAAGCTGCAACGTGTTCAAATGAGAAATACATTTTCCCGTAACGTTGCCCCCAAATTTGTCATGCATGTGCGCCAACAAGTCCGCACGAGATGACGTTACCTTCCGACTCCTCGAACTGCTGCAGCAGACTGCCCAGGTCGCTGGCTTCGATGCCTGGCGGAGCGAGCAAGCAGAGGGAGGCAGGGGTGGGGGGGGGAGCCACGTTACTCACAAAAAGGCACAGAGCAGTGACGAGGACGAGTTACACGACACGCACAGCAGCACCGGCATTCAAACCCAACCGAGGAAGTAAAGAAAATTGAATCTCAGCAGCAGCAAAAGGAGACCAAAATGTGACGCCACTCTACGTATGGGCATGTTTGATATGGGGAGGGGGGGGGGAGAATCAATATCAATCCATGTTTCTAAATCCAGACTAGCTCTGGGTCATGTATGCAATACAAAATGTGTGCATGGTTGAAGACAATAAACGAATACACGAACGTTAAATATACATAACATTCAAAGCAATAAAAAGTTTGCAGTGTAGAAAGTGGGTGGGGTGGGTATACTCCCCACCTCTTCAAAGACATCTGGCCATTTTGGAAGAGAAAGCCAAATACTCTGGAGCAAATAATAGCAGGACTGCACCTTAACCTATGGAGAGCGATGCACACTAGCGAGTCGTGGTGTGGTCAGCACTACACCCAGAGCAGCCTGCGTTCCCAGTGGCTGATATATGCAAGGCTGCAACACTCATTTATGGCTGAAACAACCTGGGGAGAGGCCCATAAAATGTCCAGATATCACCCGCATTTTAAAAACATTCCTGCGGAGGGAGCTGGTAATAACGTTGGGTTACTCGGCCAATGGCCAAGGTCAACGGCGGCGTGGTGTATGCCGCAAATATGCTCGACTGAGGACGGGCACAAGCCGGCGTGAGTAGGTTAAACATTGAGTTTTATAAGGGCATCACGGGGTGAGCAGCCCCTCCCCACCCAGCCCCACCCCCCCACCCAGCCCCACTCTCCCCTCCCCAACCACCCACCCAGCCCCTCCCCACCTAGCCCCTCCTCCCCACCCAGCCCCTCCCTGCACGACGGACGCAATAATCCCCTGTGGGCTGGTGTAACCAGGAGGTTCCTACCAGTATAAACCGTCACCAGAAATCGAACTCTCGACAGAGTTGTGAAGTGCGCCACTGAACAGCCACCACTATCGACAAGAACAATGCCCATAATCGTCGTTAGTGACAGCCAAGAGCCAAAAAAAATCATTATTTAGCAATTAACAGCAAGCTAAAAACAGATGCCATTCAATACAAGAAGATCAACCGAAATAAGATTTCATTTACAGGAACATTGCGATCCCGATATCTATGGGTCACTGCACTGGCAAATTGTTCCAATTAATAAAAATCAATCGGCCCGATTGTGCTTGGACGAGCACGAGGGGGTGGCGGGTGTTGTCCTGTATACAGCCCTTAGCCTACTATGGAAATTCCCCATTCCTATGGTGGGGGTCAATCCATTCAAATGGACAAACACCGTTAAAAAAAATTTAAATCACAGTTCAGAGGGGCGGGTGGGTGCATTGGATTTGTCTGGCCAATTTCTAAACCTGACGTGTTTTGTACGCATAATTAAGTTAAGCGTACCCAAAGAAAACCCACTAGTCATATGAGGGCGCAGCACAATGGAGATTAACCCACTGGCTGCACTGCCATCCCTCAGGTCACCTTGGCATGTATTCGGTGTCAAATCTCTGCAATCCACCACAAACAAACCCTTGCGTGGGTGACGCACAGCTTGACGGCTTACTGGTAATTGCAGAAATAATGATTTATTGGCCGTCTGTCACTTAGTAACGACTATTATGGGCATATTCTTGTCGATAGTGGCGACTGCTCAGTGGCGCACTGAAAAACTGTCAAGAGTTTGATTTCCAATCATGGTTAATATCAAATGCAAGTGATATCTGCAAAATATTATGGGCCTCTCCCCCAGATTGTTTCGGCCTCAAATGAGCGTTGCAAGCTTGCTTTGCACACGCGCAAAGCCGGCTAAAACTTACCGATCTCTTCGAAAAACGCCCGTATCGTGGGATCCGTCTCCAGGTAGTTATCGTCCTCCATCGACTCCGCTGCAGCCTCTGCCGGAGCATCGGCGGGCAAAACAGCCTGCGCTCCTACAGCAGCAGCCTTGCTTTCATCTCGCCCCAGCTGTTCGGCACTCGCCGCATCATCTGCGCCGCTCTGCTCTGCGAGTCCCGGCTGCACGCCGGCACCGCCCGCGGATTGGGGGCCCAGCTCGAGGCCGCGCTCCTCCATGCGGCGCCGGTACTGCAGCAGGCTGATCCTGCGCCGCTTGGCGCCAGACTCCTCTTCTGCGTTCGCATCCGGTGGCACGGCGACAAGGGGCGCCGGGGGGGCCTCCCCGTCGGGTGGCGGTGCCGACGACGCCGGCGACAACGGGGGAGTCATCGACGTAGACGGTGGCGCCGATAGAGGGGGCGGCACCGTCGATAACTCAACGGACGGCACGGAAGGGGAGGGAGCCACCGACAGAGTGGACAACGGTGGCGTCCGTGAAGAGGGTGCAGTTGAAGAGGGCAACACGGATGAAGGGGGTGTCGATGAAGACGGTGTCGCCAATGATGATGAAGGCGACGATGATGGCGGCGGCATCGACGACAAAGTTGTCAATAGAGGTGGTGGCACCGGCGAAGAAAGTGTCATTACAGTGGGTGGCGTTACCAACGCAGAGGGTGTCGGTTTCGCAATTGCAGAGGAAGGTGCTGGCGAGGAGATTGACACCGATGAAGCAGATGCCGGCAAAGGAGAGGGTGCTGACACCGACACCAACGCAGAAGGTGCCGACAGGGAGGAGGGTGCCGGCCTCGTCATCAGCGACGTGGAAGAGGATGACACGGCAAGCCCACCGATGACTTTCGACAGTTTCAACTCCTGCTGTTGCACCACCACAATTGGTTTGGTTTCTACCTCCGCGGTCGTGCGGTTAAAGTCAACCCGCGCGAGCGCTGGGTGGGCGACGCGCTCGGGCGGAGGTCTCGCCTGGCCCCGCTGCGCCGCGTCGCTCTGCCTCGTCTCCTTCTTCGCTTTGCTGATCCTCACGGAGCGCCGGGGTGGCTCCTCAAACAAGATCGAGCGCACAGCTTTTTTCGTCATGGCCGCCGCCGCCGCTGCCGGCCGCCGCGCCCGGTTCTTGCTGCCCGTTGATGTTTCGCGTTCGGGGCCTGCCCCTGGGCCTCTTCTGCGGCACCGCGAAGGGGACGGCGTTTCCGTTTTCAGCTTTTGCGCCCGCTTCGTCTTCTCGTTCCGCCTTTGCGGCGGGGAACGTTGCCGCCGAGATTTCTTCCGGGCCGGGAGTCGCCGCTGCTGGCGCCGCAGTCCCGGTGGCGGCAACGGCGCCCGCCGACCCTTCCGCTTGCTCTTTGGCGTCGCGCCCGAGCGACGCTTTCTCCGAGCTGCAATCGAGAGAACTCGACTCGCATAGCCCGTCGAGAGGGCCCAGGAAGCCAGTCCCGTTGGCGGCGGTGCCGCCGTCGCCACCATCATCAGTCCCTCTCGCTTGCTCCTCCCCCCCCTCAGAGCCGCCGACGTTGGACGAGGACCCCGCGAGGCTCGCGGAGGAGGAGCCGCCGTCCGGACTCATGCCGCCCGCGAGGACGGCCGGCGCGCACGGCGCCTTCACAGGGGACAGCAGGGAGAGCGACGCCACGGAATCGCGCACGCAGTAGGTGTGCATGTAGCTCACAAGCTCCACGACAGAGCCTTCCTTCAGGTCGATAACATCGAACTCGAACGAGCCATCCATGGCCATGAGCTTCTGCAGCTCCTCCACATCGCCCTCCGGCAGCAGCATGCCGATGTCGTCTTCGTCGTTGCTGCTGCTGCTGCTCGCGCCGCTCTCACCGGACGCGCAGAAACCCTCGGCGCTTCCGTCCCGCTTCTCCGGCATGTCCTCCCCGCTGCTGCCGCTGCCCTCCCAGTCGCAAATAGCGCTCCCGCTGCTGCCGACGGGGGAGTAGGCGGCCGACTCAAGGGTGCACAGGTGACGCAGCAGCTCCAGGTAAGTGGGCGTCGGGTGACGCTGACGGGGCCGGTTCGCGTGCTGGAAAAGACAACAGCGTTTCTTTACGACCGCGCAAGGCTTTCTTGCCCATGCCGTGTATAGTGCTGCGACGTGTTTTTGGGTCGTCACCGTGTGCCGTTCAGCGCGCCGTCCGACAGTTTCTCTCCGGTTCCCCGAAGAAGCTCCGAACGGGCGGAGAAAGATTTTGAGACGTCACGCCGAGCGACCCCGCGGCACAAACCGAAAAAGCACACCCGGGAGGGAGGTTTCCGACCATGCGCTTTTAATCACGGCGAAAAAAATCTCACCCGGCCGGGGGAGGTGGGAAGGCGGGTGGTCACGGAGTACGGGTTCCGCGTGGAGGCGACGCGCGACTCCGCGCCGCTCACGGGCGACAGCAGCAGCCTCTTCAGCTGCGGCAAGACGACAACGACAACAACGGGGTGAGCGTCACTCAACTGTCACGGCGTCACCACACGGCCACCCCTGTGTTACTCCACCGACACCGCGCAGATTTCCATGGCAGTTGAGGGGCACAAAGAAGTACATCGGCACATTCGCAGGCTGAATAAAGCCTGCATTGGTTAATCAAAGCCACAACGCACCCATTGCATATAGTTTCCTTGAGTAAGGATGGCTGGTTTTTTTGATGGGCTAAGACTTAAGAAGTCCTGAAATTGAGATCTTTTAATAATTTCAGTTACAAATCGCATGTTTCTTGAGCTACTGAAACAAAACCAGAGAAACAGGAAGAAATCCATGCAGAACAGGGAGAACACAGAAACTCGACGCAGGAAGGTGCCCGAGCTGGGAATCGAACTCAGGAAATTACTGCTGCGAGGAACGAGTGTCAACACTGTGCCACCCGGGTGACCTAGGATTCTCGCCATTCTTGCTAAGATCGCGAAGAAATCATTCCCTACCGTCGAGCTCTCTTCGACGTCGCACGCGAGCAGCCGAGGCTCCGGGTCGAGGAGTCCATCGAAGGGCGAAGCCGTGTTGTCGTCCAGGCTGTCCAGAGTCTCTGCGAGCGCCATGAGCAGCGTGGCGTCACCAATGCTGCCATCGCCGCCACCACCACCCTGCAGTGACACGCCACGAATGATCACTCAATGAGCACTTCGACACGACCATACGCTGGGCTGGATCTATCTGTGGAATAAATACATCTGTGTGGAGCTATGAACGTTATGTCCTCCTACGTGCGGTTACGTTTTCTCTGCGTTCTCCGTCATTAACAATCGTGGGCCAAAATCATTTCTGCCTTGGTTCTCTTTTCTTCACAACCATCACTGCTTCACTTCAATCTTAATCGTTATTCTTCTCAATAATGTATCCCTGCGTATAGCCACTTGGTTTCCCATCTTACCCCATTCCACATTCATCGTGTGCAGCATTGCGAAGCGCGGGATCCTGCCCAGGCTCATACCGATCCCAACCAGTGCAGTCTTCTTTCCGTAACAGTTCTAAACAAGGCGGCTTCTTCGCCAAACCATTTTCTTAAATTGTGTTAGTCTGAAGTCTTGATTCTCCTGGAATCTTACTTAAATACTCTCCCATATTTATTAAATTGGCCAAATAACCCAATTTAAAGACATTCAAACCTAAAAAAAAATGTGGGTAAAATAACGAACTAATTTTTACCATTGTACAGCAACCACGACAGCAAAGAAAACCAATCCCCCATCTGGCCAGACACCGACGAGTGGAGAGGGCTGCGAGACCTGTTACGTTCACCACGGTGCACGAGGGGGTGGGGTGGAATGCACCACACACCCGGTTGCATTCGCGTCACCATTGTTCCCATTTACCAACTGCACCAGGCGGTGCCCAGTTAGAGGGCGTGTCGACCCGTTTAATAACAGAGCTTGCCGACGACACGAGCCAACGCTGGCGCTCCCCACAGACTCGGAGACGCTGGAACGAGGACGACCGCACAACACGTCGCCTCTCAACTCAACCGCCCCACCCCCCAAAACACACACACCACGATCCATCACCAGAACTAGCATGACCCCTTCCGAAAGGATTCGGTGCCGCTCACGGCTCGGTGGCAGAGCTCACGTTACAAACGATGAGGTGGCAGTGGGCCAGCTGCCAGGGCTCATCAGCACGATAGTCGTGGCCGCAGCAAGCGGACGGGCGGCGAGGAAGGCACGGAGCTTGGGGTACGCAGACAAACAGCGTCCCAACGCTTTGTCGCTGGCTCTGCGGAATTATTATTCGCGCAGAGCTATCAGCTTTCCCTGGGAAAGTCAATTCACAGCTAATAAGCTTCCATAGAGAGCTGGACTATAGCGGTGCCGACAACGACGCTACCGCTCTCCGCAGACACTCGTGCGTACACACCGCACTAGGGGCTGCAATGCAACCGAGCTTAACAAGACGAACGGCGTTTCGTCATGGCCGCCGCCGCGCCCGATTTGACGATGTGGTCGAGCCATTTCTTTGCGTGCAATATGAGCTTCAGGGAAAGAGACAAGAGACCAGCTCGCACAGAAACCTATGCTGCACGTCTGTTCTGCGACTTGACACCAGTTACATACATGGCGAGCAGCGAACAATGGAGTTCAGGACAATTCTCAGCTACTTGAAATTCTGCAAGCATCACAGGAGCGCAATTCACACAAACACCGGCATTGAACGTTTCTCCCCGTGGCGGTAATCTCATATCGTTCGAGGGTCGTGCACGGATGCCACTTGCCCAAGGTTACCCGTGGCGATGCAGAGCGCTGTGAACGCGCGGCAGTCGTACGTATGTGGAACTTCTTTTCACACCGTACGTAGCCAACCGTGCGAATCGGGAGGTGCCAACCGCGCCCACACGAGTCGCCTTGGCGGTTTTCACCCGCGTTACGATGCCACGAACCGGCAGCACGACGCCAACGTTCGATGTCAACGGCAGAGCGCAGTCGAGCCGCGGATGATGACTACAACTAACCAACGAATGTGTGAACACGACTCCGACAGGATGAAATTAAGTAATGTGAAATAAGGCACAGGTTAAAAAGGTACTTTAGTAATGTGCCACGAGACCAAACATGTTAATTCGAAATATATTCCACACTTTTATTACCATTGAGCTATTAGCTCTTTTCAGAGGCATCCTGGCCACAGAGCTCAGAGTGGCCCATCATGTGGAAAGTTATAGCAGCCTAATAAATTTAATTTATGCTTTTAAATGTGAAGGGCAAAGCCGGAGGAACCCAGGAGAAAAATCCACACGACCATGGGGAGAAAAGATTACGCAAGCTCCAAATATACAACAGGCATCCTCAGGGTCAGGATAGAACCCACGACCTTCTGCATACCAACAGTGTCTTTGCCACAGCAGTGAGAAAACGTTACAGAGTTCACCGATTGCATGAACTCAATATCGTGGGGGGTGAGCAGGTGGGGGAAATTGCCTACCCCCCCTCCTCCCTCACGACATAATAAACCAAGAGGGGTCCAAATGTTTTACAGCTTCAAATCGACCGGACTAAGGCAAATCCTGACGATTTGATTAACACTGCTCTCTGCACCTCCGATTAGCACGCTTGGCTACATACGGTACAAAAGAAGTTCAACGTACAGCGATACCTCGACTTTCAGCCGTTTTCAATTCTAAACACATTTCAAATTTCGTCCACGAGGCTTTCTCTTTCGACCCATTTCATCCCAAACCTTCCACGACGTTCGCGCCACACGCCGTCTTTTTCGTTCAGTCTTAGAATCGAAGTCGTTCACCGAGCATCTCTTATATTTGTGTTCATATATTATTAATACTGTACTGATGTCTGTGATTATACTGTAAACAATTCAGTTATTAATCCTTGGTTCTTTCAGTAAAGTCACCGAAAAAACTAAGAGTATGGATCCTTGAAGTCACGAAAACCTCAAATCTAGAATTCAGTTATTTTTGTAATAGTATAATACTACAGTGTCTAGTTATTTTCGTGATCATAAAACGTGTACAGTATTCATACGGTCCTTATTTTTGCGATTACTGTTATTTGCATCGACATTTTTCGGCCAAAATAAATTTGCAAGCTAAATAAAGGCTCTGCTTTGACATTCGTCCATGCTCTGGTCCCTAACCAAACGAAAGTGTGAGGTATTCCCGCACACACTACGATGACAAGGCAATGTTCAGACGACTTCCAGTGACCGGGCGGCAGCTAAGAAATCGGCAACAACCAACTGCAGAAAACTTCTCTGCCGCCAATGACGACATGGCACGCTTCGATAAGAGCAGCCCATTCCAAACGCTGCCAGGCAATTGTCCGTGGTCGAACAGCGCCTAAAAAAACCTAAATTCATAATAGAGGTTTTTGGGTTAGATCCAAATTATTCCAAAGCGCAAGGTCACATACGAGAGACCCGAGGAAGAGTATACAGTATTTGTTCCACGAGGGTCTCGGCACAAAACCAATTTAAGATTCTCATTTTCCAATAGCTATCAACTCTAGTGGGTCACAGAAATAGGTTTGGGTTCTAAGTGCCCTACAGTGAACAGCTGCACAAATCAACCCTACCCAATATCCTCGAAAACACAAAATACGTTACTTTCGCGATGTCATTTTTTGTAATGACTTTTGCTACCTGAAAAACCCACGCCACATGTGCTGCAATAGCTTTGTCAGGAAATTTAAATGGGCTTCAAGTGGAAATTGTTTGAAAGAACAAAAAAATCTAACAGGAACCGAATATCATTCGTCAAGTGTTTTATCATCCATCTCTGCGAGGCATTTTTACAGTGGAACACAACAATCTAATGCATGTCGTCGTGTGGATTTGTTATTCGATTTAAAGACCCACACTGGGTTCCCATTATTTTTTTATGTATGCATCATAATTCCAATAACTTCCCCCCCACACAGTTCAGAATGTATCTTTAACATCCCCCACTGCAGCCTTGTGCGCCGATTTATGCATTTCTTTATTGTAGCGTTCATAAACTCGTACGAAATCCTTTGAGCAAAGCGCCCCATTATATAACTGAAATGTACGCAACGTGTGCATTCATATTTGTATCCTGTTTGCGAGGATAACATTTTTTCGTAAGACCGTATACATTTTTGCCCATTCTATCCATTTTCCAGAAAGAAAAACACTCGAGTAAATGCCATCTATAAACAACACAAACGTCACACCTTTCTAAATCACCGCTTGTTTGGGCACGTGTAAGTAAACGTCACTGCCCTGGAGGATGTGCCACAGCAGGTTATGATGTTCCAACAATATTTATTTACATTCATTTGTACAGCACCTTCCACTCATGCCTCAAGGTGCCTTGGAAGAATAAGGTTCAAGGCCAAGAGGAGAGCTACATAGACTAAACGGACTTAAGAAGATGTGTTTTTAGACGAGACTTAAAAGTAGCCACATTATCGGATAAAGAATTTCGAACGGTAAGGGAATTCCACAATCAAGGCGCAAACACATTTCGGCAACATTTAAACCAAACCTCAAGCGTGCATTACCGAATAACTCTTCACAATTTTGTGCGCATACTGAAATGCAACAAAACATCCATGGAATTAAAACAGACTATTACGATCGTGCACGGTAAACCGATTATTTACATTCTAAGCAAATTACACGCAAACTAGTTGTTAAATGTTACATTTAGTCTCGGGTGGACGAGTCGGACAAAATTTCCTCTTACAAGGGCTCTTTAGAGCCAACAGTGGTGCAAGCTGTGAAAGCGAGACCTAAAAACCAATCCAAACGAAGGATTATAAAAAGAGAAAAACCAAATCGCACTTAATCAAACCATGGCTCTAAACTACCGACAATTCAAATCCTTGAATGAAAGAGCAGGCAGAGGATAAATCGTTCCAACTTCCAGTTTGCCGGTGGCAGCCTGGCTTTTTTAAGGATATCCGCGATTACGGACATGGGACTGGGAGGGTAGTGGATGGTTGGTGGATGCGGAAGAGGAGGAAGCCGCCTCACCTGTAGCCATGGGGCATCGGACGTGTCGCTGGTGGCGCTGCACAAGAGTCCATCCAGAGGGCTCAGCGAGTCCAGTTCCGGCGACAGCAGACTCTCGCTCGCCAGCATCGTGCCGCACTGCGCATGCACGGGATCATTTATATTCTGTTAACCACCAATACATCTCATGCATTTCATATTTCAAATCCCAGATACACTGCTCTCCCGCCAACCCTAAAATGTAAAGAAATGACAAGTGTCACGTGGTATTTAATATTCCACCGGTGTCCTGTGAATATAAAAGTTAGTCTCAATGGGCTCTCACTGGGTGATAAATTAAAAGCCCCTGTATAGCTTTTTGCAGGCTGACGAGGAGAGTTGTTTGCGAGCGCCTGTTTAAATCGGCCATCTCGCACATGGCAGTGGTGTGGCCAGGACCATGACCAACTGTCCGATGTTTACACACCAGGTACTTATTTAAGAATGAGTAGACCTAGGGATGGGCCCACGACCAGTGTAAACACCACTCACCACTGAAGTTATCCACGAATCGAACTTATGTGCCAGAGTTTATAACTGTTTACCAGTATACACCCTCCACTATTCTAAAGACAATAGCACAGAGATTTGCTAGAGAAAAAAAAACACCAATAGCCACGTGGTCTATTTAAATTTAAATAGAATTACAAACAATGTGTTAATGAACACTCGAGAGGAATAGTTGGTGCCAGGTTTAGTGTGGATTTATTGGGACTCAGCTGTGCCAGTGCATCACTCCGGTGGAATGTCACAACAGGACCAGGCGAATATCAATCATTGGCAGCCAACCTCGTGCTCAAAACGGAGCTGTGAATCACAAGCCACACTCGGCAGGGAGGGATTCCCAACCTCTACTCCTCTTACAGAGCCAAGAGCGCAGTAATCCAAGAAAACATGACTGTACATTCAGACGTGGTCAAATCACTTCCGCCATGGAATTACACGCAGCTAGATTGCTCATCCTCAATCAGCCACGATCGATCCACTGCTTGATAAAAGGCATCCTCAAGTCATTGGTGTGTCTCACGGTCCTACCATGTATTAACAATCCACCTTGCACGTGCACACGAGCTTATTTTCATTGCTCCGTCTCCGCAAGGAGATGTACCCTCCCAGGCGTGTTACCTCGACCACCTGACATGATCCCGTCTAGCGAGGAGGTGGTCCCTGGCCAAGCCTAATTTTCTGAATTCTAAATATGCAGTCTCCAACCTGCTTATGTTCTCTGGATCAACTTTTGTCTATCTGCTAAGCAAAGTTAACCATGGGTTTATTTTGCAAGAAGTGTACCCTCGCGTTAAAGATTAAAAGGTTGGACTGTGTTTATCAGTTACAAAGCCAATTATTAAACATGCGCAGCTGTTGATGAGAATCAGAAAATTCATTTATAAATGGAGGAATCCGATGAGCTATAAAGCTTTTTTCATGTCCAGCAGGGGCGGATAAGAACGTTACAATATTACAAAATTATTGGAGTGCAAAGTACAATGCAAGTAAACAAATCCCTGAAACATAAATAAAACTAAACCATCCCTATCCTACCAGGCAAAGCCCTGAGGTATTAACTTATTTTTCAAGAGACCTGGCCACAAATGATAGCTCTAAGTGGCCCATCAATTGGACATTTATAGCACCAAAATCATCCAAATCTCAACGCACGCTTCTAGATGTGGAGGAGGAAACCCGAGGACCCGAGGGGAAAAAAAACACACGCGACCACGGCGAGAACATGCAAACTCCAAATATGCAGGCGTTGAGGGTCGGGATCGAACCCACTGCAACCTGCGTACCAGGCGATCAAATGATTGCACTGAATTTAAAGACGTTATACGACCAAACCTATCTCTGCCCAAGGGGCGGCCACACCTTTAAGGGTTACTCATCCAGCAGTGGACAGATCAAGGCTGATGATGCTACGTTGTTTTAAAGCACCACGCGGAAGCGAGACCACGTGCGCGCACTGCAGCGTCTGACCTCCCTCCCACCAGCCCCACGTGGCGGAAACACGCGGCGTGATGACGTAAATATGGCGCGAACGTGACGCCACGCCCCGCAATCTTAACACGTGTTTTTATTACAGTAGCACCACGTGGATCATAATGAACGCGTACGCCACATGCTCCGGGCCAAAAGGCAACGGTGTTTCTTTTTTACCATAATCGGGCCCGGCAGCTCGATATATTATGCGTATACAAAGACCCCTTCCCACCGTGTAGCTGTGCGCAGGCTGTTGGGACAAGTGGTGTTTGGGAATGTGGCTGTGAAGAACGCGTGATGGCGCGCGAGTTTGGGTGTGGCCAGAATCCCGAACGGCTGCTGCAGACGTGTCTCCCCAGTTCCGATGTTACGGAGCACCAGGTAAATCGTGTCAAGTCGTAGTCGACCGATGGAGAGCCGAGGAACGGTATAGATATACTGGATATCACTCGAGAATTTAACTCGGATCACCGGGTTCATAGCGCATCGCTGAATACAAAAGGCGGCACAAGGGCGAGCGCACTGCATGATAAACACGGCCGGCCTCGGTGTAATGCAATGATAATAACATCTCTGACAGGGTCATTCACCTTGTCCAGCAGCGGACGTATCAAATGTGAAAGCTGACAGCGATCTCGATCAGAGTTGGTTCCCACTGCCGGCTACAGTCAACAGCAGTCGCGAGTAATATTTGAACATGTCCCCCTCTTTCACCAACCCGCACTCAACATTGTGAAGTATTGTTAAAAAAATTATCCATGCCCGACGGGGACGTGGAGCGATAAAAAGGGATGTATAGTAGAAACACGCGTGGCCACCTCACACAAACAAATCGCGTCTATCCTCTATACGGGTGGTGGTGCGGGTCTAGCAGCTTATCAGTCCACATTTAAAATATCCCACATTCAAACTCTACGTCATTAACGCCAGCTCATTGCACTAATCGACACAAGAGCGCACTTTAGAGTCGATACAAAAGGATTTGAATAAAACGAGGACTCCATCACTTAAACACGGATCCATTATCAGCACTGTTTAATAATACAGTAGATCAACCCGCACACCCATCAAACAACCGCCCATCTCCAGCTCCTCAAGTGTTTATCTTTAGGCCAGTTGGCCGAAACGTCGAGACTCCTCTTACCTCCATAACATTAATACCACCACCGTATTCAGACCTACACCACATCACGAAATACGCACCCCAAACTTATTGACAAAAGTTTTACAAATCTGGTACTGTAACACGATCTCAGCTATCGGATTATAAGACGCATTCCGAAGTTTCATTGTTTACAGAGGGGAGAAAGGTGCGTCTTATAATCGGGTATTACTTTTAATCACACCGAGGTTTCATCGTGCAAAAGCTAATAGCAGCAACTTCTCTAGAGCGCAAGATACTGTACAAGGCTTCATTCGCGCAGTTGGTAACGTACATGGAAACCACGCCGTGTTGTTTTCAAGAGATAACAATGGGGCTATCCAGCGCGAGTAGTGCAACATGAACGCGTTTAAACCCTTCACAAATCCACTGCTGGATGAGGATATTTCCAAGACGGTGCCAGTGGGCGCGTGTGTATCGGGGGAGGGGGGGGACCATACTTCACCACGCTGGTCAATGCTAGTCAAGTGAATAAACAATCATTGCCATGACCCTCCAGTTACGTTTCGTTGTACGCGAGATCATCGTGTGCATGATATAACCAAATGTGACGACTTGGCAACACGTGGACCCGAGCCCACGTGGCGCCGCCATGTGCATGAAGCCCAAGAAACCCAACACCACCGCTGCACTCACGTCCACGGCATCCACACACACACACAACAGCATCGCGGCTAAACCTCACTGACGACAACACGCACAGGCCTCCGTACGCAGTCACAAACACGCGCAAAACACAAAAAAACGTTCAGAGACCGCAGCAGTAACACCACGGCGAGACCACGCCGTACAGTACGCGCGTACAGTGCGCGCCTCATGCCACATGGCCACCGACGCCGCGGCGAGACGAAGCGAGAAGACGCGCCAAGAGGTTTCAGCGACGAGGCGGAGGCGGACGATGGCCTCGGAGTTTTACCTCGGCCGCGACGCCTTCCCTGCCGCAGGAGGAGAAGGCGGAGAGCGGAGACGCCAACCCCGGCAGCGCCCCGACCTCCATCTTAGCCGCCGCCGCCGCACCGCGCCACGTGACCACTTTCTAACCCCCCATACAGCCCCGCCCCTCACCCACCGCTATATAGTAGCCCCGCCCCTTAACCACCACTATATAGTAGCCCCGCCCCTCACCCACCACTATAGTAGCCCCGCCCCTCACCCACCACTCACCCCCCTTCCTGCCAAGCGCCCTGCCCCCCCATCAATTAAGCCCTAAAGAGATGAGGGCTCACGCTTGTTTTGCGTGTACGCCACGAGCAGCGTGTGTGGGTTAGAATGCAGTCCGTGATCCCTTTGCAAAAGGGGCTTTTGTTTGGTGTTTTTTAACATCTTAACATCGCCTGTTTCATTTGTCAGAAAGGGTAACAAGTATAACCCGTAAAAACAAAGTTTTTCACTATAAATCCTTTATATGCGTGGCGGCTAGAGTCCTCTCGTCCTCTGGCTTGAGATGGCTGCCACCTATGGGTCAGATGATTGCATGGCAGCATTAAGCAATTGGTAATTAAATATATTTTTGTCCTAAAAAGTGTAAAATTTTGGGGAAAAATGTTTACGAACATTAATTGTCACGCACAACGAGTCTGTGTGGAATATGTCAGCTCGATTGGATCACGGAAAGTGGGTTAAAAAACGACCGAAAGATTTGCACGGTCCTAAGCAAGCAAGTGAACTTAATATAAAGGATTTAAAAAACGATTCTTATTTGAGGCTCATGTAGATACAGTTTAACATTGCAGCGGACTAAGATAAACAAACTCATCATTCGCATTGTTGTGGAGTAATTAACACGATTAATAAGTTGTTTGGATTCCCTTCAGCCACCCTTCCCATGTCCCTACATGTAAATAAATAATATTAAAAATACTTTTAAAAAAAACATGCTTTAATGAAATGTACCGTACTCTACGTAAATAAGTAATATATTTTAAGAACTTTTTTTTAAAAACACGCTTTAATGAAATCAACCGTACTCCACGTAAATAAGTAATATATTTTTTAAAAAACTTTTTTTTTTAAAACGCTTTAATGAAATGTGCCCTACTGGTAATGGCAGAACTCCACGACTCCAGGAAGTGGCCCCGAGGCTTGCCACAACATAAGGGGGCCGTGGTGATTTACAGCCAACGTGAGTTGAGCGTGGACAATTAGACCCAAGGCGAAACATTACATAACGAATATAATATAGTATTGTCATCAGTAAGTAATAAGTACACCAAGTTTTCAGTCGATACCACATTGGGAAGTGGGTTAAAATTGAGTTACAAGATTTGAGGATACAACAACAGACAGTTCATAGAAAGCGTGTAAGAAGATCGTTTAATTTTTTTATTTTTATGATAGAATATGGTATTGTCATCAGTAAGACATAAGTATACCAAGTTTGCAGTCGATACCACATTGGGAAGTGAGTAATTTTGCTGTGACGGTGCCACCTGAAGACGGAAGCTTGTGTTGCCTCCGAAACGTCGTGATTTTTTTTACCTACGTGACTTTACCGAAAAAACCAAACAGTATTGCGTTACAAGATTTGAGGATACAACAACAACGATAGACAGAATGAGTTAAATAAAAGCGTGTAAAATAAAAATAAAATTATATCATTTGTGCGTCCCATCAGCCACACCGGTTGAGACTTGGCCAATGTTTAATGAATCCGCCAGAGACGAATCATCATCCGGCCGCCTCCACAACGCACGCTTCACTCGTTCGTTGCTAAACAAAACAAGGGGCTGTATTCCGACCTTCTTTCGCGCCGTACATAGCCACCAGTGACAATCGGAGGCTCGGGGCTTGGGAAAGACAAAAACTGAACACGCAAAAAGCAGTGCTAAAGAAATGCGTTTTCAATCTACTTCAATCCAGATTATTCAAAAGTGCATAGCTCCTCCAGCGGCGTCCTCACGTCGGAAGCAAGAGCGTTCCAGACGTCCACCGCTCACGACCCCAATAACCCCCATCGATCCCCATAGCCCCGCCCTTCAACACCTTAGAGCCCCCCCCCCCCACTTGCTAGAAACCCCAAGACAGTACAGCAGCCCATTAACAAACAGCCCCACAAGCCGACATGGGTCAGACCATCAACCCCCCTTCAACCTCACCCAAATTGAGGGGCGAGGCGGTGGGGGTAGTGAGCAATGTCCCTCCCACCCCCCGCCCCCCATCCCCCACTGCTCCTCCACCCCACCCCCATTCCCCCACTGCTCCCCCCACCCTCACCCCCCATTCCCCCACTGCTCCCCCCACCCCCATTCCCCCACTGCTCCCCCCACCCCCGCCCCTCATTCCCCCACTGCACCCCCACCCCCATTCCCCCACTGCTCCCCCCACCCCCGCCCCTCATTCCCCCACTGCACCCCCACCCCCATTCCCCCACTGCTCCCCCCACACCCATTCCCCCACTGCTCCCCCCACCCCCATTCCCCCACTGCTCCCCCCACCCCCATTCCCCCACTGCTCCCCCCACCCTCACCCCCCATTTCCCCACTGCTCCCCCCACCCCCATTCCCCCACTGCTCCCCCCACCCCCGCCCCTCATTCCCCCACTGCTCCCCCCACCCCCGCCCCTCATTCCCCCACTGCACCCCCACCCCTGCCACCCATTCCCCCCCCATTCCCCCACTGCACCCCCACCCCACCCCCATTCCCCCACTGCTCCCCCCGCCCCCATTCCCCCACTACTCCCCCCACCCTCACCCCCCATTCCTCCTTGGGTCCCTCCCCTCCGCATACAGTGCGGATCCGGGGCCACGTGGCCGCCTCCACGCGTGGTACAGTGCGGAGCACGTGGCGCGCTGCCGTATTGGCATTCACCCACGGGGCTCGTGGGGAATCGATACCTCGTGCCCATCCTCGCCGTGACACCGCGATGATGCAGTGTCATTGTGATTGCACGATGCAATACGAACATTGCGCAATGAGTGCATCGGTGTTCAGAGCGGTGGTTTGTTTCTGGCGATTCGGCCTTAAATGAGTGCCTGGCGCGATGTGTAAACGTCGCCACGGGGGAGACAAAGGCGGCCGGGCGTGGGTGTTGGCCACCCACACCCTCGTGTGCTGTGCCGTGGGAAATGTATTGGTATTCAACACTCGTATGAATCATACTCTTAGGTTTTTTCACTTGATGTCGCACTCCCAGTTAATTATACATGAGGTTATCTGCATATGGTTGTTGAATAAGGTGCATAAGTAATTACAATAAAAAGAGGTTCATGTCCCGGGGTAAATTAAATCAATTTACAAAGGATCAAAACAATTTTTAAAACATCTTAAGTACTGTATTCGACATACAGTTTGCTTTTTAAACAATTTTTGGTTCATGTTTAATGCGTGCTGAGCAGGGATTTATTTATTGCCTATGTAAATTACCAAACTAAGCTTTTGTGACTGCAGGAGTTAATATTCTTTGGGTCTTTCGGTAAAGTCACGTAGATAGGTTCAAAGAAAATGACAAAATTTACGACGTTTCGATCACAACTCAAGCGATCGTCAACAGGAGGAACAAAGAGAGGAGAGCTGTTGAGGCAGACTGTTTTAAAGGTTTGAAATGGGTGTAGCCCAAGGGTCATAAACGAAGTAGATGGGGCTAGTGATGTTAATGTGAGATAAATTAGCATGTAATGTAAGATCGCAGAGCGGTAGCTGTGATGTTTCCATCCTACCTTCCGATGTTAGTTGTTATATGTGGCTCTCTGATTTTACATTAACACAGCCACCTAATTTATAGTGGTAGGAACCACCTGGTTCCACCAGCCCACAGGGGATTATTGTGTCCGTCCGTCGTGCATCCAAAAATGGGAGGGGTCGGGCTGGGTGGAGAGGGGAGGGTGGGGAGGGGCGGGGAGGGGCTGGGTGGGAGGGGTGGGGCTGGGTGGAGAGGGGCTGGTCACCCCGTGGTGCCCTTATAAAACTCAACGTTTAACATACTCACGCCGGCTTGTGCCCGCCCTCACAGTCGGGCATATTTGCGGAATACACCACGCCGCCGTTGACCCTGGCCATTGACCGAGCAACCCAATGTTCCTACCAGCTCCCTCCGCAGGACAATGTATTTTCACATTAACATAGCCACCTCTGCGCACTCATCGTGGAGGCTGCTCTCCGATCTCACATGAACATGCTAATTTCTTACATTGACATCATTAGCCCAGCCAACTTCGTTTATGACCCTTGGACTACACCCATTTCAAACCTTTAAAACAGTCTGCCTCAGCAGCTCTCCTCTCTTTTTTTCCTCCTGATGACAATCGCTGGAGTTGTGATGGAAACGTCGTAGTTTTTTGTTATTTTTTGTTAATCTCTTTGAACCTATCTACGTGACTTTACCGAAAGACCCAACGAATAAAGAAAATTATATTGAATATGACACTGCTGGCGGTAGGGCATTCACTAGCAGAAGGAGAGCGCTTACGAGCTATTACCACTTAGGGTATTTGGCCTACTCTTCCACGCTAGTCAGAGGTGGGAGTACCGACACTTTACACCAGCACATGCAACCTGTCAATCGACCAACTGTGTTGTTACCAATTTATACTGCTGTGTAGACAGAGGTGGGGGATTCAAGACACTTATTGTTTAAATTGCCACGCAAGGAGATACAACTGGTGGTGGCTTTTGGATTACACGTCCGGTGTGCTTACCATTTATTTACGCCGCGGTAACACCCGCTTCTTTTTTCTTTATTTTAACACCAGCTTCTATTTATCTCCGTTAAATTGTTATCTGATATAATGTCACAAATATATGACAATTTTACATGCCATTAAACTTGCAATTTCATGGATGAAGTCACGAATTGTGTGTGACGTACGAATGTTTGTCCTAAAATATACTCTGGGCATGATATTGTCAGTACTAATAAACACAAATATTAATCCCCTGTCGTATAATGACAAAGACATCGTCAGTGCCTTCGTGAGTATAACAGGCGGTATGTCAGACCGAGCGGGTCACGCGTTTGCCGTTTGTTACAGAGGTTTGTGGTCTGGACCACGGCCGGCTTATTAACCAGAAAATATATACACTGCTTCAAAGGGAGCTATAAAGATTCCATAATGTTATTTGACAAAGAGTATGAGGACACATGTGTTCGGCATCATGGTACAAATTTGACAAATCACTTCATTGGGAAATGCATAGCAATCGTCCCCTGTCTATAAAGAAACCCAACAAGGACCCCTCCTGAAAAAGGGATCTTGAGAATCAGTGAGGCACTCCGGAGAAAAAAAATGTAATCATAGCTAAAACCGCATTTGTGAAAGACATCCTTTCATCTAAGACCACCCCCTGGCCAGGAGCAATGGTTTTTTTCCAAACGTTAAATAGGTGTTCTCACTTGCCCGTCGACTCACTTGAGAGAGTGTGCCCGTGCATCCTCGCTGTGCTGTCCAGTTTCTCTCTGCTGTCTCCCTTAAATTCTGCATAACAGAAACAGGTGACGTTTGCATGGTCTCTCCAGCGGGGATAGGAGGTAAAAATTTTAAATGTTGCGTTGGGTCATTAACCAGAGCTGAGAACATCCGATAAAATTCTGCGAGCCATATTCATCAAACGAACTCAACATCAACTACATCGGTGAGTTTTTTTTGTTAATATTTCCAAAAGACAGCCGTGTAGTGATGATAGTATGTATATTTATACCAATTTTAATTGCTTTCAAAAGTCCCCAGGTGATTCGATTTCTAACGTGATTATTGCTTAACATTCTGCCTACGTGCTCATTTAATTAGTCACATTAGTAGTCCCTGAATATTATGGAATTGAAATGAGAAAAAAATAACAATTTTAGTGGATCCTACCATTAATATTTGGTCATTTATGTTACATCCAAGCATACAATGTGACAATTTGTGTTCACAACCAATGAACATGACTTGTTGATGAATGCTAAATGCATGATGTCAGTCTAGTTCAGAAACACTGCATTATTTAAAAAGTAAAAATATGACTTTTGAAGACCAGTCGGCTAAAAATGTTTTAGCTAGCAACCAAATGTTACAGAAAAATTGCTCCTCAGCCAAACCGATTTTATCCGAAACGTAAAAAAAAACAATCGCTTAGATCCTGAGGAAGCTCGCAGCGCATGCAGCAAAAAACGTCGGACATCGTGCGATGTTGTCGTTACGACTGCGTGCCAGAGCAGGCCACCATGAACCTGTCGGTGTTCTCCGGCTTCATCGGCGAGGAGGCCACGACCGGCTGCCTGCACTACATCCTCGGCGGCGGAGCGGGGAGCTCGTCCAACGACTCCTGGAGGGACGCGCAAGACGCCGACTCTGTGCCCAAGTTGCTGATCGGAGCGCAGCAGCAGGAACCCGCGTATGCGCGAGTCCCGATGACACTCTTCTACTCGGCCGTCTTCACCCTGGGCATGCTGTTCAACGGGGCAAGCATTCTCACGCTTCTCTTGAATTCACACCTCAAAGGTGAGAGGGAGAGAGAGAGAGCGGCAGCGAGAGTTCGCTGTCACTTTTGCAAATTGAATTGCCCGAGACGTTGCAGCGTTGAGCTGACACCGCTGGGATGCGAATGCACGTTTCAGTTCCTTGTGATTTCGAAAAGTATACTGGTTTGGCCATGTTTGTTTGTTGTAGTACAGAGTTAGACTGATGGTCTTAATCTAAGTCGTCGTGTGGTTGTTTTTGGTTGTTTGACTTGCATCCCACTGGGATTTTTGCACACAGCGTTGGTGTACGGTATTTTTTTTTTCTGCAATGTTTTGCTGTCTTTTCTTGGATTTCTGTTTGCACTTAGTTACATAGTCACTTTAAGATGTTTTTTGTTCATGTTTTTGTTTTTTGTTTGTTGCGGTTGCACCCGATTCAAGAGCCGAATGGCTCACAGGGCTATACCTAATACACGAACTTGGACTTGTGGTTAAAGCGGGTTCCCAAGTGGTGTTGTGGTTGTTGATGGTCCCAGCTCAATCATCAAGGATTGCACACACACACACACACACAAACCCACCTATATTAAATTTTGTTCCCCACTTAATGTGGCTAAATTCGTGCTCTGAGAAGTAAAATATCACCGCAAGTACTACACACCACGAGTACTACACACCACGAGTACTACACACCACGAGTACTACACACCACGAGTACTATATACCTCGCTGATCTCGTCAAGAAGTATAAACCAGCACACGAACTCCGGTCATCCTCGCAGCGACTTTCGGCGAAGCCATCGAACAAAGGCAGTCATCGCGCGGCGCTTTCAGATGCGCTTCTGCGGCCGTCTGGAACGCTCTTCCTTTCCGATATTAGGAAGCCGCTGGAGCTATGCACTTTAAAATTTAGACTGAAAACGTATTTATTTAAAACCGCTTTTTTGTGTGTTAAGTTTGTTACCCCCCCCCCGACCCCCCTCGCACCTCCGATTAACACGGCTGGCTACGTACGGTGCGAAAGAAGTTGAACGTACACACACGTCCGCACCGATTGTCGGCGGCAGGCAATGTGGTGCGGAGCTACCTGCTCAGTCTCTCCGTGGCTGACATCCTGTTACTCCTCACGGTGCCCGTCACGCTCTACCGCTCCTACTGGCACTACTACACCTGGCAGCTGGGCAACGTCACCTGCAAGCTCTACTTCATGCTGCGCCAGGTGAGCCTCGAGTTGGCCCACACGCCGAGAACCCACCGTCAAGAAAACATAACACACGCAACGACCCCTCCAAGTCCGATGTCAATGAACGATATCAAGCAGCCACGCGTTTCCACTGTACTAAACCCGTTGGTTATTGATGGTTTTTCGGTCAGTTAGTTTAAGCATGTAGCGTGACGCTTGAAGTTTCTTTTAGCTGGTGGATGTCTCTTGCAGGTATGTATGCTGACTTTCTTTCACGCCGTACGTAGCCAAGTGTGCTAATAGGAGGTGCGGGGGAAGGACGACACAAAAAGCGGTTCTAAAGAAATGAGTTTTCAATCTCGATTTAAAAGTGCATTGCTCCAGTGGCTGCCGTAGGTTGTTTGCAGAATCGTTACCAAGCAACATCAATCCACTGTTGAGTGGAGTGGATTGATGTCGCCATCTCTCAGAGTCCTGCAACGTAGTCATCCTAGCACCTGCACGCAAGCCAATTTCATTGCTCCATTTCCATGGCGCACGTACCCGTCTGCCGAGTTTCCCTCCACCTTAGCCTGCACCACCAGGCAAAACGTTCCGCCCAAGACCATTTAGTTTTCTTGACACTCAACACCATGTCTAACCGTCGTACGTTCTCTTATTCGTGTGTTCCTGTGTATTTATGTTAATGCATCTCTGCGTGATTCATAGTACAGTTATCAGTTTTGTAGAAAAAAAACCCGACAATTGGATATCAACGTTTGCACAATTTACGCAACAACATTGGGTTCATCTTGACATCCGTGTCATGCTGGGAATTCTTGTTGTGCTTTTTGCCGTCTAAAACACTTCTCTGTCAATGTCATTAGTTCCCGACCTGGTGGTATTTTCTCTTCCGCCGCACAAAGTGCTGTTTGTGTTCACGGTAGCGCTGTTAACTTGGGCCATCGCCCTCAATGGAATACTCAGGGGACGCTTTCTTCTCATTACCGAGAGCCATGGGGGGGGGGGGGGGGGCACTTGACGCTGAGAGCCACATGAACACAATTCGTAGGTTGCCAAGTGGACCCCATTGGTTCCGACTGGTGGCCACCTAAAAGCCATTGATGGGAGGGGGTGGGGGGCTTTTAAATCCTTTAGACTGCACTTACGAGTGGTGACGTAGCTGAGCTTCCTCGTCGAATGTGAAGCTGTGGAGGTGGCTGCGTAGCACAGGAGGAGGTTCGTAATGACCGTGTCAGAGAACTACATCGTTACCGGTGGGGCAATGGGTGTCAAATCGGAATTTTCATCATACTCGTGATTATTCCGGGTTCCCAGGTGCAGCGAGTTGATCGCCTGGTCACCAACCTTTGTCTTCTTTCGTCCGGATGCTGATGTGGATGCAGAACAACAACTACAATCTCACATTCGGGTGTTTCATGTGATCAGACACTTCTGTCTGACTAACACGCGGCACACACAGCATGCATATAGCAGAGGGCTACTGAAGTAATGGCAATCTTCTGGGGCCATTCTCTACGCAAGGTGGTTGCAACACTCGCTAAGAGAGTTGCGAATGATGTCACAATTAAGATGTACGTAAAATAATTGAAAACATGACCACAACAAAAACTATTCGAACGAATAATGTAGTTCGAAGGAGTGGAGATGTGAGCATTTGGGAGGGCGCAATCAACCCTGGGGACATGAGCCACAGCTCACATCAGCGGGTGGGGTTGATATCTGAACTGGTCCTTGCCGCCCTCCCCCTTTTACCAACCTGCATTGACCAGTGTGGTGAAGTGTGTTCGTCAACGAACGTTGACCCAACGTTGCATGTTTACTGGGGAAATGGCTGTACATGAAACTGGGCAATCCTGTGGCTTGAGCTCATCCGCCAGGTGCAGCCCTGCAACTGCTTGCTCACATCACTGCCGGCAGAAGGAGCTCGAGAGAGTAGAAGCAGAAAGATACATAATAGTGACCTGCAGTGTGGTGGCTGAGTGAGTGAGTGAGAGTCTGAATGAGTTGACCAGGGTGGGGGGCGGGGGGTGGATGAACGTGTCCCGGGCCAGGTGTACTGCTCCGCTACGAGCTGGACCATCACGGCATTCACGGTGGAGCGCTACGTCGCAATCTGCCGCCCGCTCCACTCCGTGCGGGCCCGGCATCAGCGCATCAAGCCGCGCGCGCCGCTCGCTCTGCTGGCGCTCGTCTGGCTCCTTGCGCTGCTCAGCTCGGCGCCGTTCGCGCTCACCTACGGCGCCGCGCTGGCGTGCATCCTCGACTACACGGTGCAGCCGGGCAGCCGGGACGCGCGCGGCGTGCTGCGAGCCTCGACGGTGTGCGAGCTCGTGGAGCGGGAGCCCTTCCGCGCCTACGGCGGTGCCATCGCCGCGCGCGCAGCCCTCTGCTTCGCGCTGCCGCTGTGCGCCATCGCCACGCTCCACGCGCTCATCTACCGCAGGATCAGGAGGCGGTGCGGGCAGCTGAGCAGCGCTGGTGGTGACGGAGGAGGAGGAGCGGGAGGAGGAGGGCGAGGAGGAGGAGGAGGGGGGCGAGGAGGAGGAGGGGGGCGAGGGCTGGACGCGGGCAGAGGCGCGGTGCCGTGTGCGGTGGCACGGCAGCAGGACGAGCGCAAGGCGCTCAAGTTGCTCGGTGCGCGCGCGGCGACTGCTTGAAGTGACCAGAGACTAAACTAAACGTGGGGAGGATGGGTGCGGGGTTTGGGGAGAGTTGGGGTGTGGATGTGTTAAAGGGGGCGCAGCGCGTGAGTTACTCAGTTGAAAACTCGTTTATTTTAGAGCCGCTTTTTGGTGTTCGTCCCCGCACCTCCGATGAGGGCGGTTGGCTAGGTACGGTGCGAAAAAAAGTTAAACGTGCATACATCAGTACATAAGCGAGTCATAGCCGTAGCAGACCAGTCGACCAGTGGCGCGGTGTGTTACGTCGAAAGCTGAACCATGCTGAACAAAAACGTGATAATAATTCAAATGTATAATGCGCATTGCATCTTAGGATCCCAATACGCAATGCATGGGAAGGAAGAAACAACAACAGGGCAACCGACCAAACTGAAGAGGGGAGGCCAGTTGAAAGAGATGGGTTTTCAAAGCAGACTTAAATATTTCGACCGTCCATGAAAGCATGAATTGCGCGTGTCATCCGCACACGATTTGACGTGAACCACACCCGAGCCTCCCCCACGGTGACCACCGATACGTGGAGTGCAAAAAAATTAATGGTGCGATCTCAAGAGCAAATCAGAACTCGAAACGTAAAAACAATTCCCATTGAGGCTATTGGCAAACAGAAATCCCCGGTTAAGAATTCGAACATTAAGTAAATCATAAAACGTTTGACAACGTTCGACAAGGCGTAGTTTTTTTGTTCGCGAAAAATCGCGCGTAGAATCGCGCCACCTCGTGGCGAGTTCGCGGTAACTGAATGGCCGGCGGTGAAAACCGCGCGATGGGATCACGCGGTAAGGGGCCGTCCATAAATGACGTCACGCACCTGGGGGGTGGGGAGGTCAGACATTTGTGACGATGTGTGACGAGGGGGGGGGGGAATGTAACGTCACATCAAAATGCGCAACTTTAAATCAATAAAGACAACACGTTCTACTTACACTATGAGATCTCTTTTACCAGTGGTAAAATATAGTAGTAGGTTTTAACCCTTTTAAACTGGTACAAAACTGACACCTTTATTCAAGGCATCATGTTTGCAATAACCACAACACAAGTAGTCAAAAATGCAAACAAAAAGAAGCAACTCTGATAATGATAATAAGGACAGTGCATATTATTATCATTATCAGAGTTGCTTCTTTTTGTTTGCATTTTTGACTACTTGTGTTGTGGTTATTGCAAACATGATGCCTGTATAAAGGTGTCAGTTTTGTACCAGTTTAAAAGGGTAAAAACCTACTACTACGTTCTACTTAATTAAATAGACTTTTTAATAAATGTTTCTCCTACAACATCGTAGTGCAGCGCCACATTAAATAGGCACTACAATGACAATAGTTTAAAGCGATTTGAAGCATGTTTTTTTTTGGGAGGGGGCAGAGCTTTGTGACGTCATATTTTAGGGGGGGGTCTGAATTTTTGTGACGCTGTGTGACGAGGGGGGGGGGGTCAAAAATCGTCCAAAATCGCGTGACGTCATTTATGGACGCCCCCCAAGAGCGCCGTGTCTGTTGAGACGCGGCACCTGCATTGGCTCGGGACAGGTGGAAGCGCTACTTGAGGGCCCGCTCCTTCCGCCGCACTACAGAACTCATCATTGGCCGTAGCTTTCCGCACCCTGGGAGATGGCAGTGAGAGCAAGTTGGTTTGTGAACCCGCCCATGTGAATCTCTTTGAGTTTATGCCATTGGGTTTGTTTGTGGTTTCGTCACATACATAACAACACACAACGTGAACTCGGAACTGGTCAGACATCCCGAATGCAGGACTGTCGACCGCCTCTTTCCTGGCTAAACGAACGAACGAGTCCATTGAAACCGTGCCCCTCGAACAATCCTCACCGCGTGCGCGCGCCCATCTCCTCCTCCCAGGTGCCGTGGTGGCCGCTTTCTTCCTCTGCAACTTCCCCGAGACGGCGCTCTCCCTGGTCCACATCCACACGGGCCAGTGGAGCCAGGAGACGCACGCCACGTACACGTGGCTCAAGTTCTACCTCTCGCTGCCCGCGTGGTACGCCAACAGCGCCGTCGACCCGCTCCTCTTCTGCATCGCCTCGCGCTGCTTCCGCTCGGCGTGCCGGCACACGCTGACATCGCTGCTCGACCGCGCTGTCCTCGCCCTGCGGCTGGCCCTTCCCAAGCGGAGGGTGATGCTGGCGGTGCTGCGCTCGTCCTCGTGGAGCCCGCCCGAGGTCGAGACCGCCGGCGGGCCCGCTTCGGCCGGGACGCCGCGGCTGCTGTCCTTCAGGCGGGGGGTCACGTCGCCCCCTCTGGTGGGGTCACGTGTGCTGCCGGTGGTCACGGTGGTCACGGTGGTCACGGTGGCGGATGATTCCTCGCACTCCCTGCCGATCACGCAGTCGCCAGGGAGTGCCCGCAGAGGGTCCAATGGCGCCGAAGAATAGCTCCGCGGGCGCTCATCCGTCGTTGTTTTGTTTAAATATATAATTTCAAATGTGTTCGCAACTAAGATTTATCTCTGTAGTTGGGCAGGTGGGGTCTCAGAAGTTGTTTGGCAAAATCCGTCTCGATCGATCGAAACGTCGTAGTTTTCTGTTATTTTTTATTTTCTTTGAACCTATCTACGTGACTTTACCGAAAGACCCAAGAATATAAAATAGTTTAGTTTCTAAGGGTGAGCCAGATAACCCTGGATGTACAGATTTGCTTTGAGGATTTTTTTTCAAACACCCGAGTGCTCACTGATTGGTCATTCAGCATGATTTGTCATGATTTGAGCTAGCCAGTGGATTCAAGAATTGATTCTCTTGGTCTCTTTTTACCATTTAGTTTGTATTGATTATCACTTGATCAGTATCACAGTCCAGTGACGTCAGCACACGAATATGAGTCAAGTAACATGGTGTCTGTTCAAACGAGAAATGGGGGGGCACTGATTACTCTTGGCCACCTTTACACTGGTGGCAACTCCACATTCCCATGGCAGGGGCGACGTAATCATTCCTTGTGCGATAAAAAAAAATCAGTGTGCAGGTTCTTGGTGGAATATTACATAACGTAAGTCTTCAAAGCATAAAAGTACACAGGCATCACCACACTTTGTAATTCTATACTTTCATGTCGAGGCTAATTGCGTAGTTTTTAAAATTATTGTGAATAAGGATGGTTCATCTCGAGTGTAAACACCTTTGCAATACAATTATCAATATAAAATGATAACAATCAGGTGTTGAGGTCCACATGGCAATAGTTTAATTTGACTTTATTTGCATCAATGAGTGGATTAACTGTCTGTCAAAATTAAGAGGACATGACATTAACTTATATGACAAAAAAACCCGATCATTCAACTGGAAAGAAATGGCAGAGAGATTAAAAAATGTTTAACTGAGACCACAAGCAACTCATGGTTGACATTACATATTTACAAAAGAAAAAAGCAAATACTATCAACTCTCAAAATAACACAAACGGCAACGTACATGGCTTTGGAACAAAAATATGTTGCGTAACAAATGCATACTATGTTCAATGTAAATGTACAACACACCTAACAAGGACATATTCTTCATGCTAATAAGTAATGGTAACATGTATAGATAATTGACCTTTATATTTTACGTACGGCTCATTACGTGCTTCCTTTCATGTACAGCCATGCCCAAGCAGCTTCGATTCTTTGATATCATGCACGCATTTCAGAGGGAATCTTGATTGGTGCGTATTTCTGTCGTGCTGCGATTTCAAAATTGACGTGCACACTGGGTAGGCAGCCACATCACGAGGTGAAGAATTCCCTCCTCCGCCTTGACCGCGCTGCTCACATGCTCGGTGGTAAATTCGTCACACGCGGACCGCACCCACTGCAATCAAAGTGCACCGCGTTCACCAACGCCGTCATCGGTCTCGACATTAATCGCCGTTCTTTGGTAAACAGAAGCACACCTACCCCCAACGTCTCTTCTCCGTGACCTCTGCAAGGCAACGCGTGACACGGCACCCGACTTGGCTGCTTTGCGTCTCGGACGTAGCTCAGCGTCTACTGCGCCCCGCCGCCGTTGAAATGCGTTGACAAGAGCATTCCTATTTCCAGAACGGCAACAAGTGTTCCTTGACGAAGCAGGCAATGGCCTTGGCTCCTCGTCTGAAAAACCATCTCGACCCGTGTCCTCGCTCTCCAACGCACAGCCGGGGTTTGTTTCTCTTGCTGCCCACCGCTCCATTCCTCCCGGGAGGACAAAACTGCGAGCGTGGCAGACGTCGAGAAGAAACGACGCCGTACCGCCACGCGTCCCGTCCCCGCCGCGCCGTTCGAGCGGCCGGCTCACGCGGAGGCCGCGTCCGTGCTCAGCTGACCGTTCGGCGGGCCCGCCCGGCTCACCAGGGCCCAGCGGGCGCACGACACGCACGTGTACGCCAGCGCGGCCAGCAGCAGCGCCGCCAGGAGGAGGGAGAGGAGGGCCAGCGTGGAACCAAAGGCGGCCTCGGGGATGGCTCGCGGCGCCAACTCCACGGGGATGAGGTTCGTCTCGTTGAGCATGTAGCCCAGAGCCCAGCCCGCCTCCCCGATCGCTTGTATGCCCTCCACCTGCTCGGCAGGACGGAGACGCGTAGCGCAAATGCAAAGTGTGAGCACGGGCGCAGGGTCCACCTTTTTGCAGCGGGGCATCTCTGCTCTCTGCGTGCGTGCGTGCGGGCACACCCACGCATCCGATATCGACCACCATCAATTCCTCTCATCCTCGGCGTGTTCAACTGCCCTGTCCCTTTCTCCCTTCACTCTGCGAAGCTACGCAGAACAAAGCAAACCGTGGCAGGAGGTGGGGGAGGCGACGAGTTTAAATTTCGCGTCGGCCGGGCCTCGACGGCTCACCTTTTTGACAAACTTGATGTTGATCCACGTCGAGAAGTTGAACTTGTAGCCGTGGATGAGCAGCTGCAGCAGGTAGTTGGCGGAGAAGCAGTAGGACTTGAGGTGCTTTTGTTCGATCTGTGACGAGGCCCGCACCTGTTCACGGACGGAAGGGGCCGAGATCAGCAAGACGGTGCGGTGGGACGCCTTTCTCGTTTGCAGTTCGTTGTCGTCGTGAATAAGGGGCAGAGAGGGCACTGCCCCACCCGAAAAGTACCATTCCCCAGAAGGTCATGTTATGACATAAAACTTGCGGAGTGCCCGATTCATGAATACCGTGCGTATAAAATGATAACTCTGCTCGAACAACCGATGCTTTCTGTCGAAGCTCCCAGATGGCCATTACTCAGTGGATTACTCAGTGGGAGGTCGCTCATTTTACACTGTTGCTCTCATACCTGGGAACTCCCTTATCCATAACTATCTCGAATGTTGACTCCCCCCTGTTCAAGTGCAGGCTGAATACCTTTCTGACTCTGCCTCTGGATGCCTTTCCCTTTAAAACAAATATGCCCACGGTGTCTGTACACAGAGTCTCGGAATGCGATCGCTTTCATCTGCTGTGCAAATCCAAATCGCAGCGTGTTGTATTAATGTGTCCAGAAAATCCTCACTGAATTTCACAGCTCTTTTTTTACAGGAGGATCCTGTATGTATGTTGAACTTCCTTCGCACCGTACATAGCCAACCGTGCTAATAGGAGGTTCATTGTTTGGCCAATTGCTTTTTAAAAAAGGATTAGCTTTCATGTCCATATGTATATGTGTATGTACTTTTGTGATTTAGTGGTTGTGCACAGCGCTACGAACCTGGCTAACCCGAGTTCGAGACACAGCTACGGCTAACATCAGTGGCGACTGTCTGAAACAGTTCTGGACCGTCCGCTCCCCCTCCCGCCCCCAGGTCGACTCAGCCTTAACCTGAGTACTTGGTGTGGTATGTGAAAACATCAGCTATGGTGGGGAAACAATAAGGTTGCTGGGCATGTTTCTGGCCTCACAACCCTCTGGTGTACAGTCACAGACCTTGCCCCGACAGTGAGGCTAAATGAAAGTGTTTGGCTTTTTTCACGTAGGGGGAAACCACCCCCCCCCCCCCACCAATAATCTAAATATGTATTCACGTAATATAGTGTCACGCGAAAAGAATGCTGAATAAAACACCAGGAGCTTGCCTCGTTCCAGGGTTTGTTGCAGAATCTCTTCACGACATCGCGGATATAGTACACGTTGCCCTCTCCTCTCAGCTTTAGGAAATCCATCACGTAGTAGAACGCGGAGAAGGCCTGGTACGAAGTGAAAGGGCGTCAGCCAGGATCAGCCATCGCGCATGCCAGGGGTATAACAATCAACCACACCAGCCCCCCCCCCCCCCCCCCCCCACACGTCGTCAGTTCGATGAACTGTGGTTATTGAGCATCGCGGTTCGATTCAAGAATCCTTTCGCTTCCAAGTGTGGTTCCCGTGTGTGGTTCCCCGAGTGTGGTTCCGAGTGTGGTTCCTCCTCTCGAGCGTTCACCAAGCAGCGCTACTTGGGCACCTCTAGGAGCTGAAGAGGCAGGCAGGGGGTTACACGTTGGCGGTAATCGCGAGAGAAAGAACGCTGAATGTGGAAACCCAGAAAACCACACTCGGATGCAAGCGGCTGTTGCTGCAACAAAAAACCATCCACGCGATTTATTTCTACGAGATCGGGTCGAACCAGTGACCCCTGGATTGCAAGTCCACCGCGCTACACATTCCACCATGGAAACACCCCACGAGGTGTACGTACATCCGTACGCAATTCCCACCGCATGCACATTCCACATTTTTTGTTTTTACATTTCCCGACCGAAACGGAGGTGGACCCAAGTGCGCGCGCGCGCACTGACCATGAAGGACCCGGACACGGGCGGCTGGTAGACGCCGTCGAACGTGCAGTCCTTGCGTCCCGCGCACGACGAGTAGTTGAAGATTTGCGCCACCGCCTCGGCGCACTTGTCAGCCTGGCCGGAACCTCGCAGCAGCACGCGGCCCTGGAGGGGACCCGCGCCACCGTGCGGCCCGACCAGCGGCTTCAGCGCGGCTGTGCACGGCTTCCCGAACATGTACCCCACTTCCAGCCGCTCCTCGAAGCCGCTGTGGTAGCACGGGAACGTCACCTCCACGTCCGAGGACGAGTTCTGCGCGACACGGGCGTGCGGTGAAACGTCATGATGACGTCATTATAATTGCAATGTTCCCACTTTGCGAGTTTTCCCCAATCTAATGCCCCTCACGTAGAGTTTTAGACAAGAACGCCACCGACTAAAATGCAGGCGACGTTGCCTGAACGAAAGTTGTACTGGATCTCACGTTCAATTTCTCCGGCCACCTGATAAACATTATCAAGGTTTCACTGTACACAAATACTAAATAACCGTACCTACACGATATGATACAAGTGTTGTGAGGATAACGAGTAGGCAGGTTTTAGGATCATTAAAGTTACGGCCAAGTTCTTAGCTGGAGGGAGCACCGGAGGTCAGGGACGCTGAATCCGGGTCACAGTCCGGATCTGGCTCGGGCCGAGTGAGCACGTGGGGTGAGGGCGATAGCCGGCCTACATTGAACTTCTTTAGCACCGTACGTATCCGACCGTGCTCATCGGAGGTGCGGGGGGAATAAGGACAAAAAGCTAAACACAAAAGCAGTTATAAAGAAATTAGCTTTCAATGTAGATTTAAAAGTACATAACTCCAGTGACTTGCTCATATCGGAAGGAAGAGCGTTCCAGATGGCCGCAGAAGCGCACCTGAAAGCGCTCGACAGCTAAGGGCTAGAGCTTAGGCTAAGGTCAGGGCTGGGGTCAGCATTAGTGTTAAGGTCAAGTCTTTAACTGGAGGGAGCATAGGGTCAGGGACACATTCGGGTACACGGTGCTGGTCAGAGGCGATGGTGGCGTGGGGGCAATGACGTGGTGGGCGAGCGACGTGCCTTCCAAGCCTCCGCCAGTGCGCCGCGCGCCAGCGTGGCGGCGACGCGCATCAGCGCCTCGTCTTTGCCGTAGCAGAGGTAGCTGTGCGTGAACACCGCGTGGTCGTAGCCGTACAGGCGGAAGCGCTGCGTGCCGCTCAGCGCCCCGCCCGCGGGCACGAACGCGATCTGCGTGGACGCCCCGCCCAGGTCGAGGGCCCCCACCGTCTTGGCTCCCCTCGGACGCACCCAGGACAGCCAGTCTCTCTGTTTGGGTTGGGAGGGGGGCACCCAAAGCGACGTACCTCGGTCAATATTTACAATCGCTCACTCGCCACTTAGCGCATTTCAAACGCATTTAATAAACTAAAACTAAACTTTATTATTTTACCAGGTAAGGCCCACTGAGCTATGTAGCTATTTTTCAGAAGCGCCTTGGCTATCACAAATTATAGCCCAACGGAGCGGCTTATCATCATGTGGAAGTTTCTCAATGTGGAGGGAAAAACCGGAGGACCCGGAGAAAAATCCACGAGACCACGGGGAGAACATTCAATCTCCAAATGTACAGTCGTCAGAGTCGGGATTGAACCCACGACCTTCTGTATACCGGGCGAGGTAGTTAACATCTCGCCAACGTGGCGCCCTACAATTGGGGAAACATTTCTGGAAGCAACTATTGGCGTGGGTGCTCGTGGTTTTGTGCTGTGTAGCTCTCCGATAGCGGCACGACCTGCAAACGCATCGGAAGGCCATTTCTATGGAGGCAGTCGTGTGGCCCTTTCACGTGCACCTCTGTGCCAACCCGACTCGTGTTGACGTAGCTAAATCAACACGGAAAGCAATCGGCCACCTCTTGGAGGAAAACGCTTAATTCAACACCGTACCGTCGTCGGCATCACCACTTCACGTGCCGATTACGTTCCACGCATTTACTGCTCATGTTAATAGACTCATCGCTTAAAGAAGATAACGGCCCTTCGTTTATACACTTTGTTAGATTAACGTGTCCCCCACACCGTGTTGGGGTCACCGGGGATTGTGTGGCTGTACTTCACCACGCCGGTCAGCCAGCGCACCTTGGTGGAGCGAAGGCCACCAGGACTGTTTTTTTTACTTCGCTCAATAAAAGTAAATCATTGGCTGCGGGAGGAGGAAATCAAATTTGGGTCAGCGGGTTCACAGTGCGGTGTGCCAACCACTGCACCGCCACGCAGTGGCGAGGGCTGGGGGGGTGGAGGGAGAGGCCAGCGCTGGTCACCTGGAGGAAGTTGCCCTGCAGGTAGTTGATGGTGACCCAGCCAAAGGCGCCCTCCTCCTGTCCGGTGAGGATGCGAGCGCTGCAGAAGAGGAACGGCGTTGCCCGCAGGGCGGTCTTCACCGACTCCATCACCCGCTCCGCGGCCTCGGGGTTCTGCTTGCTGGAGCCACGTGTCATGCAGACGCAGACAACAGAGACAAAGATGACCCCTTGTAGCCTCAACAGACTGTTGGGGCAAGTGCTGTTAGCGAGTAGCACCTATGAAGGCCGGCACGATACACAACGGGAGTGGGTAGCCAGCACCACGCCCGACCACCTTTGTCTCCCTAGTGGAAATATTTACACATCGCTCCAGGTACTCATTTGAGGCTGAGTCGACCTAGAGGAGGCCCAGGACCAGTTCAGCACGTATGCGCGTACACACACACACACGCACAAAGCTCAGAGATACCCCACGTTAGATGTGGGTTGACAGTTTTTTTATGAATCCGAAAAGATGCAAACACCAGGCCTAGATATGAATTTTTTAGTGATCCGGGTTGAAAAATGTATTATAATTATTTCGGATTAATAAAAAATGTGATGTCACCAGAAGTGACATCACCATACAAATTGTCAGGGCAGTTCGCTGCTTGTTGCTATTTCAGCATCAGCCATGGTCTATCCACTGCTGGACGAAGGCGTCCCCCTTCCAAGCTGTCGCCCCACATCTCTCAACGGCCTTGAAATTCGATTGCATTACCCGACTTGTACACGAGGTGGTATGCCATGTTCTTCTCCACAGTCGCACGTGTAATGCGATTTATCTTTAGGGAGCATTCACATTCCCTTCCCCGGGATTGCCTGCGACCCCCACCCCCCTATCAACCAGGACATGTTGGGTACACCTCGGGGGCCTGTCGGATATTCGCGTGCGGTTGTTTTGTTGTTGTTGTCGCCCAACGTTTCTGCACCAGGCCTTTGTTCTTGTGTTAATAAAAACATTAAAAATATATAAAACATTCACATTCAATCATAGCTTCTATGATCACTGTTACATTGCTTTAATAGCTTTATTTTTTTTTATTTCAAAAACGTTTTAGTTTAGCCATATTTGTTTGTTGTAGTACAGAGTTAGACTGATAATTTTAATATAAATTGTCTTATGGTTGTTATTGTTTGACTTGCATCCCACTGGGATTTTTGCACACAGCATTGATATACGGTTCATTTTCTGGAAGACTTTGCTGTTTTTTCCTGGATTTTTCTGTTTGCGCGTAGTCACTAAGATGTTTCTTGTTCATGTTTTGTTTGTTGCGGTTGCACCCGATTCAAGAGCCGAATGGCTCACAGGGCTATACCAAATAAATGAAACTGAAACTGAAACATTCACCGATGTTTGTTTGTGTGTGCGACCGACTCAGCTGGCAGCAGGCTGTGAAAACAGGCTTCGGGAAAGGCGAGGAGAAAAGACAGCCACACCCTGTGGCAGACCACGAGGGGGCCACGTACAGAAAAAGCAGCAAACGCCTCTTGGGGCTGCTACCACATTCACTTGCGATGGCTGTGGCAAGGAACGCCACTCAAGAATTGGCCCAAGTCATTCTGGGCGCTGCAAACCACGCAGTTGACCTCGTAAGGCGCAAAATAAGTGTCTCCCCAGACACACAGGCCTCATAGTAATAGCATAGCAGTGTTTGTATAAAGAGCAGTTAGCGGGAATTTGTTGCTGCAGGCACAACATTCATCCCGATATCTGTGTGGGTTTTTTTTAGTGGGCAATAGGAATCGCACGGCAATTTCATCCCATTGCCCGCAGTGTCTTGGAGAGAAGGAGAAAGCGTGCGGAAAATGCATTTCATTGTTGTTACAAATCCGCGACTGACTGCGTAGGTGAGAGGTGGGTGGACTCGTCAAAAGTATGCCAACGTCACAGTCAACATATAACAATCATACGTTTGAGGTGTAGTTTTGAGGGTAATCATTTATATCATCGAAAACCCTCTCTGCCCGCGAGGGTTACGTGCTTGAAAACGCTCGCGAATGCAGAAACCTTGTTCCAATGGGGAAAAATGGGGAAATATGGCTTATCGATGGACTCCGTCACAGCATTGAGACATACGTGGGAGCAGCAGTGGTTGGCGGAGCACGGCTGTAATCTAGCACTGTGCAGGCGAGGGTTGATGGATCACACAAATGTTGCAAAACTCCCTGCCTGTATGGGATAGAGCAGTGTTCTCATTGCGAAGCCCCGCGGGCCACTGGCAGCCCCTGGTGGCCTTTAGTGCGGCCCCCCACAATACACAACACGTGACGACAACACCCCATCATCATCATCGTGCTGCTGTCAAACCCGCAATGGTTTCAAATGTGTGACGGGCCTCACGCACCGATGACTGCCTCCCCTCTCTGAAAATTAGCGAAGCGCCACTGGGACGGAGCGTTTCTCCCTCGCACGCGTGGTGGATTTGAACCAGCGGCCTGTTCGATCGCACGCCGCTCGCTCTACCCCGCAGAGGCTCGTGGCCGGTTTGAACGGGACGCTCGGACAAAGCGGAGGGCGGAACCGACGGCGGAGCGGGGGAAAGAGAAGGCTGCGAGCGTGACGCCTTAACGGCATCCGCCGAACTAACCGGAGCAGTCGCATGCCGGCCGTGGCGCCCAAGGAGATGGGCGTCTCGTGGTGCCTCTCCGGCGGGACGAGTTTCGTGGCGTTGAAGAGACTCGGCACCAGGGACTGCCCGGCCATCTCCGGGTTATCCTTGTAGCTCGATATGCCGCCTCCTGCAGGGAGCAAAGAAGCGCACGAGCACGCATGCACAGCATCAGGTGCTGCAGCGCGAAGAACTCCACTCATATCGATGAATCGTAATCGATGGCTCAATGCATCGTTACAAACCCGTGTCTTACACGCGCACAGCCCATTTTGTCCGGGTGGTGGGTCGTGGGAGATATTGTGAGTGTGCTTCACTCAGCTGGTCAGTGCGGCTTAACCGAAGGCAGGGAGCACAGATGTTGAAGCATAGTACAGCGCAACAATTGATTTTGTCACACTGCCCAAGCGTAGCCCCGCGGTAATCCGGCAGCAAAATCCGTGTGGTTTACATTCTGATGTCATCAAATATCTCTTGATCGTGGGCGTGTAGACCTTGGTCTCATGGTCGCGTGTTCCTGAAGGTCAGCGGAAAGGCAACGCATCTCCATATCTTGCACAATTAAGCTTATCTACGTTTCACATGCTGCATTATCGGCGTTGCGATGCATCGAGACAGCACGCTATAGGGGGAGGGGGGGCGGGTGCATGCAAGTGTTTGCAGGAAGCCACACTTAATTTGAAGTGTCGATGACGTTGGGTGTTGTTGCTTTTAAACCATCTCGTTTGCATTGTTTCCCCGTTCGTTCCGTCTCGTGGTGCAGGCTTGTTCACCATCACAGCAGAGCCGTAAAACTAAAATGAGCATCCCATTTGCCGCGACACGCGACAGAATTCATCTCAATCGTGACATTGTTACCGCTCCATATTTCTCCCCTGAAGGACGACCACGTGTAAATGACTGGTATTCCATTTCATTTTTGCTGCGTTCACACTCCCATTGCTTGCCCTGAGTGAGGCATTCAATAATTGCGTGTTTTTTTCGTTTCAAATATTGTCTGACAGAGGAACGGCACCACCAATCTTCGGCTTAACATCTCCGGCTCCTTCTATATCTCCTCCCCCCTCCGCCCCAACAAATCTTTTTGGGCGTTTCAGACAATCCGCGCCGTTTGTTTTTTCTCGCCGTTCCCTTCCCGCACCAATTGCACCGTGACTTGTGGTTCACAAGGAGGTCACGTTGCCGACGGTCGCGCGTGCACTGTATGTCTGCACGTACACAGGAGAGCGTGTCACGCGCCGCTGCTGCTGCGTTGTGTGCGCGTGTTGCAATGCTGCTGGCAAAGCGAGTCACGGGGAGGACCTTCCTCCCCTCGTGTCTTCCATCTCCCCCCCCTCCCCGTCCCCCGTTGTAAAGGGTTGGCCCAGTCTGCGTCCGTGCCAAGTTCACCATCTCATTTGCATTTCTCTTTCCTCGCTCTGCAGCCTTCGCTTTCGCCGTAGGAGCCTGCATCTAGCGTCGCAGTTAGAACCGCAATATTTATTTCTCCTGGAGAAATCCGGTGAGCTACGAAGCTTTTTTTCACAGATGTCCAGTGGGGGGAAGGGGGGGGTTGGTTACAAACGTACAACAACAAACAATACAAAACAATCGATAGGAGTTCAAAGTATAAGAAAAGTAAGCAAATCACTGAAAAGAGATTAATGTTATAAAACTAGACTCATTATTTTACCAGGTAAGGACCCCTGAGCTAGTAGTCTTTGTTTTCAGAAGGGACATCGCCACAAATGATAGCGCAATGAAGTGGCTTATCACGTGGACGTTTACAGCAACCAAATACTCTAAGCATAAGCACCCCTCCCCCCACCATTTGTATAGAACGTGCATTATGCGTAAACCATTCTCAAACGTGAAATGTTACGCGTGCATCGTTGCTACGGCAACATACATTTTTTGTTTCTGATTCATCGCACTGTTGGACTCGTTCCGCTGTACGTCCCCCGGGCAGTCTTGGACTGGGCCATCTGGGAACGAGGAATTTGCCCCCTAATTCTAGTTGTGGAGTTGGGCCATTGCAGTCAGTACACACGTGGGTCCAAATTAAACATTCACTTCAATCGGCCAGCGAAAGATTTACGCCGACTCAAGCGCGTGGATGGCTCGCGTCCAGGATCGACTCGGCGAACTAAAGCCCCAATTTCCCCAGTGGTCCGTTCTCACCCCACGGCTAGGCACCAGCAAGGCTTCAATAAAACCTTGGAAACACTCTGCCAAACATAAACACGAAAGCAGGTGGAGGCCTGGAGAGAGAGAGAGAGGTGAAAGGTTAGGTGGGTTACTTCTGCTGAAAACGTGTTGGTTGTTTCTTTCTTTCTCTCATTCGGTAGCTAGGTTCAGATACCTGCTTGCTGTCGGCCAGGCACAAGCAACACTGCGGGTCACGTTTGTAGCCCACCTGCTTCTCACCTTCACGGTGCACGGTCGCATTCCTTTGCCCGAGCCCTTTCACCGCAGAGCCGAGGTTATCTACCAATTCAAACAATTTCATTCGTCCGTCGCGCATCGTCAGCGAAGAGATCGCCGTCGGTGCCAAACGAGTGACCTCTTTGTGACAGCGTTCGCATAAACTTTCTCTTGCTGCCGTACACCAGCATCTCGAGCGATGTATTCGATCCACGGATCAACTGAAGTGAGCGCAATTTGCCGGAGTTTGCGCATCAAGACGGGGCGACGTGTCCACAAAGGGTCACAGCCGTCTCCCTCGAACTAAAGCTCTCGATCGCTAGGAGACCGGTCGCAGATGCAACGGTGACATTTCTGACTCAATCAAACCATCGGATGCCAAGTATATAATTTCCCAGCGCTGATACTGAATATCAGGAGGCTGCCTGCAATCCAGCAAACAGGTCGATTATACATTTCAGCATCAAACAATGCTCGACAATGAAGCACTGACGATACTTCCACTGATAAGTGTGTGCTTTTGCACAGTGATGGAGACGTTTTCTAAGAAAGAACACGTGTCATGGATCAAACGTTCTGCCTAAGGGGCTATGGTACCACATGTGAATTACCGATCATCAATCTCCCTTCTACCGCGATCATGCTCCCATTGCTTGCTATGAAGCCTTCGGTGATTTGTGTTGTCCTCTGGAATCTCTTTTATCATTATTCTTCAGCACGGCTTTATAGGGTTATGTGTATTCTATATTTTATTTGGCGATTTTATCCGTGTTTTTTTTTCTCTCGTGTTCATCGTGTGTGTGTATTTGTGGCTTGACATAAAACCTGTTGTTTTTAGTTTCAATCTAAGTGCACAGTCCATTACTTTGCCAGTGATGTGATCATTTAACGTGGCAACATCCATTTCCACACGTTGCTTCTCTATTTATTTTAATCTGTTGCATAGTTTAACTCTGCTACGTTCTGATCTAGCTGCTTCCAGTTCACGACCTTGTTTTCACCTTTAATAAGCGTTGCCCTCTCTTTGGCTGTGTGTGTATATATAAGGCAATTGTTGAAGGCGGATCTGTGATGGACTATTTTGATATCTAGCGGGGCGAGTGAGAGCAGGTTAGAGCGCTTTTGCAAAAGTGAACTCAGCCGAGAAAAAAACACAAAAAGTAACGTTTTCAATCACTGCACATCATCTGCCAAAATACGGATCTGAAACACGCAAACCGGCAGGGAACATGGAACAAAAGCCGAACGCTGTGCAAAGAATCCTGGGGCACACTCGAAATGGAAATGAGAGACACACCGATAATAGAACAAACACAAAGCAGAGACATCACTTTGACTTAAACGGCTGGTAGGGCTTCGGCGGTCAAACGTCGTTGTAAAGATATGTTGGGCAACGGATGATGGCCAACGGATGACGGCCGATGGATGATGCCGATGATTAGAGACACGCCGGAGAGTATACGACCACTGCGTTGGTTGAGCGATAAGAATCGGCTCATGTTGGGGGAGGCTCGATGGATTGTTGCATCACAGGACGGTGAAGAGTTCGGGAGGCCCTGAATGCAGCAGTGGACAAAGCGTGGCTGGTGATGATGAATGAAATGGCTTCAGGTCACGAGAGGCACTCCTATTCACTATCATAACAATACAACTGATTCTGGAAAGGAACAGTCACCCTGAATCGTGACAATCAAATAGTCAGGAGTTGAGGGGGAGTATCGGAACTGAATTTGTTCGTCATAAACCCCACCCCATATAACTACATTGGCTATTACAGCAGCATTAAGGCCAACCAGTGAATCTAGGTAATATAATGAGAGCTAAGTAAATGCATCTTGCTTACAGCAACCATATTATTATTAACAAAGTGTTTTATCACTACGCCCGCATAAAAGCAATTGACTCAAGCCCACAATATTACTTACGACATGGTCATGTTAAGCGTGAGCGTTTATTGTCAATGGAATACAACTCAGTGCTAAAGACATCATTTCCTTGAATTGTAAGCGAGTCCAAAATTAAGAATAAATGTATCTGGTCGATGCACATTGCTCATCACCTTAAAATAGCTTTAAACACGCAAAGAGATACTCAAACGACTTGAACGGTGTTAATGATGGGGTTAAAACATAACTCGTACACTTAAACGCCGCTTTAACGACTTTGAAAAGCATGTGGGGGATATTTTTTCTCCACTCAGAGAAATGCAGAGAAAACGGTGGGCTGCGGTATTAAATAAACGCATTAAATAAACAATTACAGATATTCATGCAACGAATGTTCAGAGGCTAAATGTTACATTCAACAAAATCACATGAATATGTCACGGCGGTGTTGCTTCAAGCGGTTTGGTATAAAAGTTAAAAGCGTTGCCATCCGTCAAAGTCTCTTAAGATATTATTAAAAGCAGCAAACTGTTTAAATGGACTGTAATGGACTTTTTTCGGATCAAACATATCTTGAAATGCGAGGCCCTGCCTTGTTCATGTCTTGACTACGTGTTATTGCAACAGCAGATGTGGAAATAAACAAATAAATAAATGTAATTTTTCGTTAACAGTCTATTACACATCAGGGAGAATATATTGCTTATTCATATTTGAACAGAGCTCTTAGAAAACCAACCATTTCACAATGTGCACAAAGCTTGGCCACAAAACAAGTATCAATATTCCTGCTTTTGAATATTTTTGTATTTTTAACCATTACATTCATCTAGTCGTGCAA